TGAGCCTGGAGAGTCTGTTGCCTACAACCATTTTTTGTTGCCAAATAGATCGTCAGGGTTCAACTGAGAAAATACAACCTGCCTTGACTATTTTTTATAGAAAGACAAACATTTTCTTTCAATCCCTCTGAAGAAGTCAATGAATGAGCCCAGGAATGAGTTCCTGGAATAAAACATATCTGGACTATTGCATCATATCTACACATATCATCAGCCGCATAGCCTAGAATCAGAAAGCCACTGGGCTGTTGGCTACTACCTACATCATCCGTGTAAAGTGGAAGGCAATGGAGTCAGAACTAGACTGATAACAGATGGTTTATTAGGAAAGTACTCATGCAATGGAGCCAGCACCAGGTTTACCCCGGATGCCTACTTGTCAGTTCAGCCAGGCAGGAGAGGGGAAAGAGAGCTGCATGCCAGCGTCTCTGATATTTAAAGCCTTGCCACATCACTCTGACCACGCCCAAATGGGCGTGGTCATCGGCACCTGTGCCAGCCCGCAAGCGGGCGTGGTCAGCATTTCTCCCTACAAACGTGCTAGATATTTTCGAGTAGAGAAGGCACTCTGTGTTCTGTAGAGTTACACTTCCCACCATAGTTTCCCTCAATAGTGTCTCATGTGGCACCATTTTTTTATATTTTTTTAGATTTTACGTTTTCTTTGACCTCAGTATCCATTTTTTTTTTAAATCATGTCTTCAAGGTTTGAGATTCTCTCTTCCAACTTTTGTATTCTGTTGGTGAGTCTTGCCTCTGAAATTCTTGTTTGAGTCCTCAATTTTTTTATTTCCAGATTTTCCTCAGTTTGTGTTTTCTTTATTGATTCTATTTCTGCTGTCAGGTCTTAAACTGTTTTATTTATTTCATTCCAGTTTGTGTTTTCATGGATTTCTTTAATGGATTCATTCATTTCCTCTTTAGGGACCTCCATCATATCCACAAAGGCTATTTTAAGGTCTTTGTCTTGTGCTCCAGCTATGTTGCAGTTCTCAGGGCCTGCTGTGGTACGATAGCTGGGCTCTACTGGAAACTTTGTCCTGGCTAGTATTGATTATGTTTTTACACTGTTGCCCAGGCATCTGGGTTTGATTATAATTCTAGGTGCTGATATCTGGTCTTGCCTTTGTTGGGTGGGTGTTCTTTTCCTAGTTTCTGTTGGCCTTTCTGGTTCTTAGGAGGCCGTGATAGCCATGTGTTGCCTGGTAAGGAATTCTTCTGGGATCTTGATAGGTTTGGCCACTGGAGGTTCAGGGCAAAATGTGTTTCTTGGTATTGGGACGTAACACTTAAGATTGGGAATGGGCTAAGAAGGGGAGGCTGAAGGGGTGTGTCCACTGGAGGGAGGAAAGCAGGGTGTTCCTCCTGGATCTCCTTAGTCTCCTGGGAAAGGGTATAGAGATGGAGGAGAGACCACAACATGGAGTCTGCTGCATAGCTGGGGATGAGACTGGATTTGGAGAGGTTGAGGGAGAGTGAAGGGCTGAAGTTAGCCTCCCTGCTTGGCTGGCCTACTTGCTTCTCTGGCAAGGTTGGCTGCTGGGCTCCAGGGAATGCCTGCTGGAGTTGGGGGCTGGGATAACAACATGAGTGGAGGGAAGAAAGGTTAGAGGAGGCCAGTATAATGACCTGGAGATCAGGGAGCAGGAAGGGAGGGGAGGCTGCAGCAGGTGGTCTCCTACAGAGCTTGGGATGAGACTAGGGCATTGCATTCAGACAAGAGAGAGGTTACGATCTAGTTAGCCTACGCGTTTCCCTGGCTGGTGTCTCACTTCTAAATTCTAAAGCATACAACTGTAACCAAAAGAAACTCTGAGAATCTAGAATTGCACCTGACTGCCCCACCTGAAATACCACACACTTCAGTCTCTGCTATTAGGAAAAGGTACACAATATTTTTATCTTTTGAAATAGTAAGAAAAACAAATAGAAAGCTTGTCAACTTTTATGCTATGGTTAACGAAGAAGGGTTTTAAGGGATTTCTGCCTTCCTCAAACCTCGTTAGTGACTAATCCAAGTTCTGAACCCCATATCTGACGACAGTGCTCCATTGGAAAATGTCTGCATGTCTCTGCTGGGTCAGTGCGTGGAGTTTGTTTGTGCTGTGGTGTGGTAGTGAGTGAAGGAGGAAAGGAAGCGGCTTGCTTCTCGGTCTGAGAGACTGAGAATCCATGCACAGGGAGAGAGGCCTGGACTGTGAGGCCACCTCTCCTGCAGCTGTGGGATATGTGGAAGGAAACGAAGAAAACGTCCTGCAATAGGAAAAATGATGCTGATGAATAGAGCATCTGTTCTCGTGTCTAGTGGATCTACTTAAGGACAGCAGCTGTTGTCTGTTTCCTCCCCGCTGGACTCGCTCCATCTCTGATGCTGGAGGCCACTGTAAACAATGAGACCTTTTTCTAAACATTTTCAGTTGTCAGCCCTGTTTCAGCCCACACGTAAGTCCATGGGACTGGCTTTATAGAGTGCATATTTTCTTGTGAATTTTTGTCTTAGGGGAAGAGTCTTACAGAATGGAACAGTCTGGTGTATGTGAGGTGAAACACGACAGCCACCATAAGCAGGAGAAATAGCTTTAAAGGTATAGGGGCTAGACAGCTCTCAGCAGCTCTGGGAGATTTTAGTATTTTGATGGGTTTAGTTCTGGACAGTTGAAGGGGAGACAGGATAGTGCTGTATGAATGGTAAGAAACCTAAGGAGTTTGGCAACTGTTTCCGCTCTTACTATTTCTTTCCTCAATAAACAAAAGGTTCTTTTTATCAGGTTACTCTCAGACTGATCAAGCTACCACACTCAATAATGCTGAGTTGCATGCCCATAAAGTAAATGGCCCATGGGTGGAGGAATAGGGGCCCCTACAAGTTCTAGTAGCCACAGGCTCCAGCAAAAATAAAGGAGAGTGCAGTGAGACTGCCAGGGCCCCTTGGCCTTAGCTAGCTACTCTTCCGTTGATGCTTTGAAAAAGTTCAAAAATAATGTTGCTGTTTAATTTTCCTAATATGTAAACAGCATGACAAATTAAGTGTTTTTGACAGCAAGATTAGGACATGCTTGCAGCACTGCCCCAACACAGGCAGATGGGCCTCATCCTCCAAGGAAGCTTTGGGACATTAAGAATCTTGGTGCATGCCTATCATACCAATGCTGGCAATGCTAAGGTAGGAAGGTCATGGGTTCCAGGCTCTCCTGATCTCCATGGAGGGCGGGGCAATCTTTAAGTAAAATGAAAACTGTTAAGTCAAGTTAAGCAAAGAGAATAAGAGTTCAATTCCCTTCCGGTTATTCTTAAGTTATTGATGCTAATAAATAGAAAAGTGTAGGAAACATGAAAGTAAGTAACAGTCATGGATGCCATTTAACAGGTGTTCCCAGAGAAGGACCAGCATCAGGGGGCACTTAATCCTATTTAGGTTGTAACTGTGTCCTAGAGATTACCAGTTAAAGAGCAGGTGCTCACAGAAGTAGACAGCACAAAGGAGGAGAGATGAGAAGCACAAGGCATCTGTGAAGACACCCCAGGTGCTTGCTACAATTAAGTGACCATAAAATCAAAGCCAAGGATTTCAGTTAAAAACAACAACAACAACAAAAAAAAACAAACCAGAGTCATCTCTTCCAAAATACAAACACAATCAGCTTCCCTTGCCACCTGTAATGGACTACATTCAAATTCCCAGCAAGTGCTTTTGTTAGCACTATCTGCTCAAGCTTGAATGAGCATCCACATGAGTCTACACTGTAGACTCTACAGAGTAGCAGTGAGGTCAGATCTGAGCTAGGCAACGTGCTGCCTTGGAAACCGGCTCCATTCCTTACCTGACCTCTTTGTGCTTGTCAGTGTAGCTAAAGAAATGGGTGCAAAGCATCTGTAAGGTTTTTGTATGAATGCGATATAAATTGCTTGGACTGTTATCTTTACCTTGCTTACTGCTTGACTTCCAGCATTGGAATAGCTCCAGATAATTGCCTCTGTCAAATGAATATGAAATATAAAAGAGCCAGATTTATCGGGGTCCTCTGTACTACTTTCTGTTTGAAGTGTCATCTCATGGTGGCAAGCCTCTCTCTTCTTTCACCTATCTGGAATCATATTTGTTAACCCTATGTGACTCTGCTTAAAAAGTGTAGGGGGAGTCTGTGGTAAAGATTTCTAGTCTATTGCAGTTTGCCATTACTTAACAACATACCCGAGAAAACCCACTGAAAAAAAGGACATTTATGTGGGCTTGTGGTTTCAGAATTTGCAGTATGTGATCAAGTTCCCTCTACTCCTCTGGGGTCTAGGATTTGACATCCAGTAAGTTCTTTCAGTAAGAGGAAAAGAAGGCTCCAGAGTCTCCCATTCTAGGGCTTACTTCCAGTTATCTAATTTTCACCCCCTGGGCTCCTCCTCCCATGTGCTGGCCAGTCTTACATAAGCTTGGCACAAGCCATTTGGGAATCGGGAACCTCAATGGAGAAAATGTCCCCACTAGATTGGCCCTGTGGGCAAGGCATTGGTGCATTTTCTTGATTGGTGATTCGTGTGGCTGGGCACAGATCACTGTGGGCAGTGCCTCCCCTCCACTGGTGTCCTGGGTGCTCTAAAGAAGTAGACAGATCAAGCCATAAGGATCTAACCAGGAAGCAGCACCCTTCATGGCCTCTGCACCAGTTCTTGCCACTAGGTTCCTACTTTGAGTTCTGTCCCTGACTTCCTTAGATGATGGACTACAAGTTGTAAAATGAATAAGCATCTTCTACCACAAGTTGCTGTGGTCATGCTGTTTAACCACAGCAATAGAAACCCTAACTAAGACATCCCAACAGCACTAGGCTCGAGAACAAGCCTCTAACATACAGGCATTTGTGGGAACACTCCTGACCCAAACTACAGCAATATTGAAAGGAAAAATAAAATAAACAACATGTTCTGTTTCCCTACAGAGAAGAAAGCCTTATGACGGACTGCCGTCTTGGTTCACAGTTTTATTTCATTTTCTTCTCTTCATTAAGGCTGCTGTTGTGCCATCTGCCCAAACCCTTAAAATTACTGACTTCAGCTTCAGTGACTTTGAGCTGTCTGATGTGGAAACAGCACTGTGTACAATTCGGATGTTCACTGACCTCAACCTTGTGCAGAACTTCCAGATGAAGCATGAGGTAGGAAGGCAGTGATGCCCTTTGATAAAAATGTGGGTGTGTGTGCATGTTCATGTACATGTGTGTAAGATAGAAAATTGGATCTGACTAATAGCATGTAATAGGGGTGTTCAGTGAGCAGAACACCTGGTAAGCCATCAAAGGGAACCGGCTCTCCTCCTGATAACAGTGGCCACTCACTGAGGAGTTTGAAGCCTGGAGAGTACCTTGACATCATTGCCAAGGTTGGGATAATGATGTAGAATGGGCCAGCACCGGGGCCACAGATGCTTGTGAGGCCAGACTACTCAAACCAGGTCATCTCCATAGAGCAGAAATAAGACCCTTTGAGATCCAGTCTCCAAATACAGATTTCCTATAAAAAAAAAATTCCTGCCTTCAAGGCTTTTACAATTCTACTTAGTCCTCCATTAATTCATACAATGAGTGAAAAGTTACTCACATGCTTTTTGTGATTCCAATGATGCATTGACTCTTTCTGCCTCACAGTACAGAAAGAAAACTGAGGGTGAATGTAATTAAGGCTATCACACTGCAATCTGACTCTTTCTTGAATTTAAACGAAGTTCATATTACTTTTTTCTTCAATGAAAGCCAAACAATACAAATAGAGCAATAACGAGTCTCTCTTGTCTGAGTGTTAGCTAAAGGATGATGTATTGTTTGATTATTCCAACAAGCTCTTATGAATGAATCTCATTTAGAGATGAGGAAAGCCAGCCATCATGGAGCAGAAACGTCATGGGCTTCGATCTTAGATCCTCGGTGATCTGTACACATTCACCTGGGCAGGTTATCTCCCATATTCTGTTTCCTCACCTCTTGGGGTAAATGATGACACTGCTCTGTGGAGTCTGTATGAATTACGTATTCGTCTGTATATTACATGCCTGTATATGTGTGTGCTTGTAATATTCGGTGTAATCCACAGACACAGAGAGCATGTTAATTATCCCCTGTTTAGGCCACATTTAACTGTGCTAAATCACCATCAGATTTTTCCTCTGTAGCAGCTAGGACTCGCTTTAAAAGTCTGCCCTGTGAATGTGGTAAGTTCACTTCTAGAGTTGGAAGTCCTTAGTATGGATCACCGTCTTCCTTCTTAATGCCTTGATCAGATCCATGTGTTCCTGGAGTGTGCACATCTGTAACTAACAATGATTCTCTTCCAAGGGTTTGGCTAGAATGCAAGAATGTGATTCTTTCTGTAAAACTCCTGTTGTTGGTTTACTTTTGTTTGGCTTATAGGTAGCATTTGAAGATTGGGGAATACAGATACATTCTCACTCAGTTTCCCCAGCTCTGTTTCCTTGGATTCCTACCCATAGGAAGAACTTTCTTCTCTAGATCACCCACTTTCCTTTTTTTTTTCTTTTATGTAACCCCTATCTTAATGTCAGAAAACAAACAGTAGGTAATTTCAGTGCCATACAAAGAAATACATGAACAGAGTAAAGGCAGCTCGTCAAGGCTGTTTCTTTTTGCTCCAAATATAACACTGTGGCCCAGACTGGACTGGTCAGCACACCAGGACAGAAAGTTCACGTCATTTTTATTCTAATACAGAAGGTGACTGTATTTTCCTCATTGGTTAGGTTCTGGCCTCACAGTCTTTGAGATTGGTTAGTTTTAAAAGACTCAGTGCAAAGGAAATAATGGAAGGTGCTGTGTTGCTCCAGACAGTAGAGTTCCAGGAGAACAGGGAGCCCTTCGCATAAACAAAAGTTTTACCAGGTGGGAGAGATTAAAAGATTTGCATAAAAGTTCTACACTGTGGGGAGATTAAAAGATTTTAATTCTTTTACATAAAACTTTTACAAGGTGGGGAAAATTTATGGAATATTGGCATTCTATGAACTAACTTTGATTAAAAAATATTTTACATTTATTCCAGGTATCATCAACTGGGCTGTTAGGATTACTGTGGTTGGATTTTCTGTCTTCTCTTTGATTTCAGGGATTATTGTCAATATAATTTTAGGTGGAGGCATTTCACAGTGAAATGTCAAACCTCCAGTCAGCATTAATTTATGCTGGTGGCAGCCATTGCCTTTTACTGGTCTCGGAAACAATCCACTTTATTAGGACAACACGTGTTGGTTGTGTTTCCATGGGTACCCCTCAACTGTATATGCCGCCATGGTCACTGGGGAATGTAGATCCCTGTTGTAGGTTCTGAGTCATGTAGGAAAAGAATCTTACAACAGACTCAGAAACTTGGGATCCTTTTACCAAAGTTGAAGAGAAATAGCAGGAAAGGCAAAGTCTAGGTTTCAGCAGCTGCCAAGAGCTGAGGACTAGAGAAGGCAGCTTTGTGAGTAGGTTGAGAAGTAAAGCCATTATTAAATATGTATACATATTCTGCAATTGAATCATGGCTAAAGTAACTCTTGCTGGGAATCGGGTGAAACATATCAGCGTGGGGCCCTTTTGGGAATGAGGTAAATGGAAGGCTCGGCACAGGCTCGGCAATGGAAGTCTGTGAGCAGCGCTCGGGAGTGGAGGGGCCTTCAGAGGGGGAAAATGCTAGTGTGTCGAGTGCAAACAGGTTTAAGACTGGGGTCAATTTGGTTTGGAAGAAGGAGAAAGGAATTAAGAAAATGTTGCAGGCCTGGATGATCGCTGCATCTGTGGCAATGGCTTCTGTGGTCTGTGAGTGCACATCTCTCTTCTTAACAGGTCCTTAGGTACCTTGTCTGTCTTCCCACCTCCTGGCTGCCCTCTTGGAGTCCTTTCCCTATCACAGTCTTTGGCCTTGTGCTATCAACCACTGACCAAGCCTCTTTATTGATAATTAATCTGAAGCCTCTTTTAGATTCTAATGCTCTTCCCTCCCCCAGAGACTCAGGAGGCGGGATCCAATGTCTGTTGGTTGGAGGGGTCCATTGGCAAAGGGTCCCAAGCTGATATGTTTTACCTCATTCCCAAAAAGGCCCCTAGCTGATATGTTTCACCTCATTCCCAAAAGGGTCCCAAGCTGATATGTTTTACCTGATTCCCAGCAAGAGTTACTTTAGCCATGATCCAATTGCAGAATATGTATACGTATTTAATAATAGCTTTACGTTTTGAACTAGTGAAGGATATATTCAGTTTTTCTCATTATTTTTCTTGCTGGTTTTTTAATCACAAGATGGCAATGCGTACTCTCAAAACATACCAAAGCAAAACTTGTGGCTTTCATTTAAAATCCCCCTACGGTAGCTGATCTGCCATCTTTCCACCAGAGTGTTTAAAATGTCCAGAGTCAGGAAATCTGTATGAGATTTCAGTGCTGAGTGAGCACACACCCACTGGGGGCACACAAACCTGCTTTCACAAGGGCAATGGCAGGGACCTATGCTCAGAGATCCCAAGGTTTTTTATTTGAGAATTCCCCGGGAACGGAACCACAGAACTAGAAGGAAAAGTCCTAAAAAGAGAAGAGGTTATCCCAAGTCCTCTGACTGAGCAGTTTCTACCAACAGTGAAGAGACTCAGCTCAGCCTCCAGAGCGGATCACAAGGCTGGACACTTTCAAAGCTTCGTAGTTTCCCCCCTTGTAATTTTTCCAGTCCCAAGGCCATGCTCTTTGTGTTTGCAACATCCCCAGTGACACACTTGGGGACAGCACTTAGAGAACGATGTTTTTACAAAAATAGAGTAAACCATTGAGATTTTAAGAGAGGCAGCCTGGTAACACAGACAGAATGACCATGCTTAGACCCTGAGTCCCTGAGGATCTTATGTAATTCTTCACTTAGAAGTTAAATTCAACCCAACTTGGGAGAATTGAACAATTCCACCTCCCTGCCCCCCTTCCCGGCTTTTAAAATAAATGTTTCCATATGGGTCCCAAAAGTTTTCCTTTGTATACATTATCTCCAAATTTTGATGTCCTGGTAGGCAGACATTAACTATGCCTAACACTTAGGCAGAACTGAAAGTGTAAGGAGTAAAGATCTAATGAAGAGGGCATTAAGACCTGCGATTCTAGTTTGTCCAGAGACTTGAGCTGGATTCCAAGATCCCAGCTCACCTTAGATCCTTGCACCCAAGTGTGCAACATGAGAGCATTGAAAGAACCCGTTCCCCAATACTCATACACACATGACTCTGGATTCTAAGGATAACATGGGGGGTGTTTTTAATAAATGTAGTTGGTGTCCTACCCATGACAAAATAGCTTTCTTTGAGATATTACCCATTTCTCACCTGATTTAACTAGGTTAGCTGGGTAGGTTCTGGATTGAACCGGTAATATTTGAATTCTGGCTCTCCCCCTTATGAACAACCACCACTGGCAGGTTACCTGTTTGAGTGTAGTTTCTATCCTTCTTTTTTCTCTCTCTTTTTAAAATATTGATTCATTTTTTCCTAACATTCTTATCAATTATTTGGGAGTTTCACATAATGCCTCCTGATCACATTCGCTTGCCTGACTTCCCAGGTCCTCCCTTGTGACCTTCTCCAAAGGAAAGAAGCAAAGGGAAAACAAACCAAAAGAAACAGTCCAGTTTGTATTGCTCATATACTCACTGGAACGTGGTGAAACTTCCAGTGGACAGACCCTTAAAGAAAACCAGTCTTTCCCCACCCCACCCGACAGAAGCCATCAGCTGTGAAGAGCGAGTGTTAGTTTTGTCCTTTGTGAAAGGATTGCAACAGTCATGCGGACCTCCCTGGTGGTTGTAAGGAATTGAACTGGATTGCTGTAAGGTGCCTGGAACTTAGAAAATGAAGACTAACTTGGCAATTCTTGTCACTCAGTATCCTTCATTTCCTAAAGGTTCTCTGCAGATGGATTTTAAGTGTTAAGAAGAATTACCGGAAGAATGTTGCCTATCACAATTGGAGGCATGCCTTTAACACAGCACAGTGCATGTTTGCTGCTCTGAAAGCAGGCAAGATTCAGGTACTCAGTTTACAGCATGTCTGTCTCTTCAAATGTGCAGCTCTGGTCATTGACTAATGGTCGGTTGAAGATTAGTGCCGCAGGGTCGTTGGCTACCTTACTCTCATTTGTAATAAATATGATGTCATAAAAATCCTCCAACTTCATGTTACATTTTAGTAGTCCTTGCTCAAGTAGAGATTTCTGTCAGAGGAAGTCACTGGAAGAACAATAGTACATTTCTCATAGCCACAGTCAACTGCTCCATAGTGGAATTACTCAACAATCACCAAGTGCTGTCACAGATAAGCTTATAGTTGGCTGCCTTACTCTGTGGAAGGCGGGCACTTCTATAAGTGCTAGTTCGGATGGGTTTTTGTTTCATGGGCATTGGTCAGAGGCTGATTAAAAGGAAGATTGGTGCAGAAAACATTCACACAAAGCATTGATTTCCAGTCAAATCCTATTATTTCTCTGTCCTTAGATTCCATTCTAAGACAGAATTGACTAGTTATTCTGAGTGATTCTAGACATTCACTACAGAATTCAAATTCAGAGCCTCCAAGCTTTAAAAAGTAAATTAAAAAACTATAATTCTCTGTCATGTATCCTACTTTCTGGGGTTACGAATTTTAAATGATCCATTTTGAAAGAAATGACTGGACTTGGGTCTAGCTTAGCAATGGAACTCAGGAATAGCCTGTGTAAAACCCTGCACATAGGAAATAAATAAAAGAAGATGTACAGAATAACACAGTGCTATTTCACTCCCATAGAAACATTTCTAAGACCAGAATAAACTTATTTTGGGTCGTGCAAGAGTCCTAAGATTATCACCACAGTTAGCTGCCCTTGGTTTTCATGATGAAGAATGAGATCATGTTTTTCACACCTGCTTCAAAGTTTATGGTTCTGGAAGTTCCTGTGGGATGGAGTGGCATGGCAGTTTAGCTTACATTTCCTTACTGACGATGGGAATAGCACTGTAAATAATATAAATGGCAAGTACTCAAAAACAACCAATATGTAGCTTGGGAACATATACAACTTTTGAAAGCCAATTTTCCCCCAGTTATCCCATTTCTATTATTTTGTTTAATATTCATGTTGTCTAGGTTCCTTCAGAATATAGCAGCCAATCACAGAGAGCAAAGCAATGGTTACAAAAAAACAAAAACAAAAAACAAGACACAGAGATAGTTAAAGTTTATTACAATCATTCCACATGTATAAAAATAAGATCATGATTACCTGTTGTGTGAAGATTATTCTTGTTTTCACTTGAAAAAAATTATGTAATGAGTGTGTGTGTTTGTCTGCACATAGGTCATGGTACGTGCGTGGAGGGCAGAGAACAAATTTTGTGAGTCAGTTCTCTCCTGCTACCATCCATTATTACCAGAACAGAACTCATGTGGTTGGGCTTGCATAGCAAGCACTGTTACTCACTGAGCCAGCTTACTGGTCGTAGATTATTCATTTTTGAAGCATTTCAACTTTTCTGTTGTTTAGAGACATTTGTAATAGCTCATTGTGAATGCAGCTTAAATGGTCACCTATAGATCTGCATTCTCTGTGACCGCACAGAAGAGCAGGAATAAATGCTGAAAAGTCACGGGAGAATGCCCCGCTCATGTTTTCTCTACTTTTTCTTTACTTCAATGCCTTTGCACACAGAACAAGTTGACGGATCTAGAGACACTTGCATTGCTGATTGCTGCTTTAAGCCATGATTTGGATCATCGTGGTGTGAACAACTCATACATACAGCGGTAAGATCGTTTCTCCAGTAAAGCAAGAAGATATGTCCTCTGAATCATTGATCCATGTTTTAAGTTAGAGCTACAAAAAAAAAGTAGAAAATACCAGTTGGTTAAATTTCATTACATAGTCTAGCTATGTTTAAGGAAAATAGGAAGCAAATACAAGTGTAATAATACTATATTGATCACATTTCAGGCCTGAAGTTCAAACTGTGTTTATGTTGACAATCTTATTAGATAATTACTGTGAGTTTTTCTTTAGTTTTCTTACACCCAGCTTAAGAGCTTCTTCAGAAAACTATGAAGAGCCCAGAAGGGGTAGAATTTTTATCCTGGAGTAGAAAAGACAATATTTGGAAAAGTGCTTAGCCTGGCCCTACTTATGATGCTCAATACACTAAGCTTTTCAGGTTAGTTGAGGTTTCATCGCACAGTGTCAGAGAACTTGAGCTCTGTGGTCAGGCTGTAGATCTGTCAGAGTTCCTGTGTAGCCTTGAATGAGGAAGCTGATTCCTCTATACCTTAATTTCCTTTAAAACGGAGATAACGGCATTTCCATATCCCAAAGTTGGTGTGTGTTTTCAGAGACCACACACATTGCCACTAAGTGGAAGGTTTGTCGTATTTTGTGTTAAATCCTAGCTGTAGTTACTAGAGTTGTGTCAAGTGTGATGCTCTCACTGGCTGATCTTAAGGCTGAGATTCTAACCACCGAGACAAGAATTTGCAGGTACCTTTGAGTACCACCAACACTTAAGCGGCATTATGTTATGACAACTAAGCTGATAAAACTAATAGTACTTTTTCATCAAATCATCAAACCCCTGTTGCCGGCCCATCTTCACATAGCAATTGGTTGAGAAGTCTGTTTTAATGGCAGAATGTCTCACTATGGAGCCTTTCTGTAAGTGAGCCAGTCTCATGGGGCATTCCATATATCTCCAGGGTGTGTGAGAAAGCTCTCCGGTCGCTGTCCCTTTATGTGATAGACAGAAGACTTCCTCTAAAAATTCTAACAGTGTACAGCCATGCCCTGTGCTGCCCTTCACAAAACAAGACAGAACGCTCTTACCCTGTCACAGCCTGGCTGTTTCCACCTGAAAACCTAGAGATTTGGAAAAGTAACTTGATGACATGTCCTTTGTCCCTGTGTCTTATTAGTGATCCTGGGGGGTCACATAAACATTATTAACAAAAGGGAGCAGCAACAGGAAAGTTTCTACAGTGTGATCAATCCATATGGCATGGCTATATTCTCTGCCTGTCTCAGAAAGGAACATCGTGTTATTAGTATATATACTGTCAATTATTGTAGAAATTGTGATCATGTTGCTCTATGTAAATGAAGAAGAAAATTACAACTTTTTTATTTAAAATTACCTTAAAAAACAAGCAAACAAACAAACAAAAAAACTATTGTAACCCAAAAGAGCTTCTGGAGAGATGGGATCATCTCTTTAGGTAAAAAAAAAACCCTGGGGATGGGGTTGGTGGTGGGGGAAACACAACATAACACAACACAAAACATAGTTTCTCACACACAAAGCAGATGCTAACCAAGCTGTAACTCTTGAAAAAGCCAAAGCAGTTCAGAGCCTTTTATTTCTTCCTACATTCCTGTTCTGTGAGTAAAGGAAAGCAGGCCTTTCTCTTGCCTGACTGGTACTTAAAGTAGGATTTTCTTCATAAGTGGGCACTTGAGGCAGTAAAGTACTGTAAGCTCCTTGTATAAAGGTCTGTCTTCTAGAGGGGCAAACAGTACCCAGGACCCATGATGTATCCACACTGACACATAATAAAAAACAGACAAACAAATAAAAAGGAGGTGGAGAAATAAGAGCAGTTAAGATAAAGGGGATATAGGTTGAGTCAGGTGAAGAATAGAAGAAAAGGGTATGTGATAGGTAGGGTTTTAGTTGGGGGGGTGGTAGGGGAGGACGGGAGGGAGAAGGGAACTGGGATTGTCATGTAAAACAATCTTGTTTCTAATTCAAATAAAAAAAAAGATAAAGGGGATGTCCCTGGGTAATGGAAGGAGGTGTTCATGGATAATGGAAGGAGGTGTTTATGGGTAATGGAAGGGGGTGTCCCTGGGTAATGGAAGGGGGTGTCCCTGGGTTATGGAAGGAGGTGTTCATGGGTAATAGGAAGAGGTGTTCATGGGTAATAGAGTAAGAAACTGAAATCCTCCTTTCTCTTAAGTTATTTTTGAGAAAACTACTTTGAGATAAGGCTTTCCTTGAGTAGGAGGCTATCCCTTGACCCACTGTTGTCCCTCCCTCCCTTCCTCACCTTCCTTCCTCCCCTCCCTCCATTAAGAAGACTGCCATCACCAGGGGTCCCACTGGTTTCCTGTGATATATTTAGATACCCTGCTCCCACTTTCTCTACTCATTTGGAGGGAAAGAAGAATGCTCTCAGATGAACTGTGAACTTGAGCACTAGTATAGACTGTGGCTGTAGCTCAGTTGGTAGCTTGCTTGCCTAAGTATGCATCAAGCCCTGGGTTTGACCCTCAGCACCTTTTAAACCAGACTTGATGATACCCTCAGGCAGCAGACTCAGGGGATCAGTAGCTCAAGATTAACCTTGGCTACATAGCAAGTGTGAGGCTAGCCTGAACTACATGTGTCTTTACCTCAAAACAATAAAACAAAATAAATGGTGGTTAGAACACAATAGCTAAAGTGCAAATATTCACTTAAAATGAGTTATAAAACTTGCATTATAGAGAAAGTCTCTGCATCAGGCCTGTAGTCAGTGTCATAGGTCTTGCAAGCACATTTATTTGCTTAGTTTCAACTCTAATGATGTTGCACAAATAAATAAAAGACCCAGAGACAGATATTGGGGTTCAAGCTTCAAGCTGAAGTTTAGAAAAGCAAAGCAGCTGGTCACTAGCTCTTATTCTACCTCAGACTGAAAGGGCTGATTCTGTCTCCACGAGAGCTCCCCAAACCACAAACTGATGCCTCTCCTCTGCATGGCTGGAGAATCCTGAGACTTCCATGTCTTCCTCTCCTCAATGTGGCTGGAGAATGAATGCTGATACTGAGAACTTGCTCCTGTCTTATATGCCTTCCTAATGCTGGGATTAAAGGCATGTGATCCCAGGTGCTGAGATCATCTTTGTGTGAGCTCTTTTTCTTTAGGAATGGATCAATCTTGTGTAGATCTGGGTGGCCTTGGACTCCCAGAGATCTGGCTACCTCTTAACCTTGAGTCCTAGAATTAAAGGTGTGTACCACCACCTCCTAGCTTCTGGCTGCTGGGATTAAAGGTTCTATGTCTTGTGGTTGTCTTTGCTTTCTGAAGCCTCAGGCAAGCTTTAATAAATCATAAATAATATATCACAACACAGTGATTATAAAATGATTCAGCAAAAGTATGCAGTATGTTAAGCTTTTGCATAATGAACAATTGTTAGAGTTTTGGTTCTTTGCTAGGCAGGAGGAGAGCTAATTACATATATAATGTTCTTGCCTGCAGTTTCTGACCCTTGAAATGACAATCAGTGAAAGAAATTATTCAGTGAGTCCCAAGTCATCTAATGACGTGGACTTCAAGTATCCATCAGAGAAGGAGATTGGCCAAGCATATTGTAGTCCACATCCACTATTCATAGAGAAAATGAGACTTAAGCTGGATGCTGAGAAGTAGGTGGATTTTCAGATAAAGGACAAAGATATTCTGGGATGCTGTGAAGTGGGCATTCCGTGGAACAGTAGTGGTAGACCAGCAAGAAAATAGACAAGATCCCCTCAGGGGAGGGATGTAACACTAAGCAGTATATACTAAAATTGATAGAATTTGTAAAAGGAATTGTTGCTATAGGCAATGAAAACATTATTTAGGAAGTAAGTCATGGAATGAACCACATGGCAAATGGATTGAAATTAGAACCACAGAGCTTGTCAGTGTGTCAGTGTAAACTGACAAGCACACTGGGGGGTCTGGGGGAGAGGCCAAAGGAACGATGTGAATTTCATGTAGGGACGCTAGATACATGCATGAAGAAAAGAGAAAAAGCCCATGCCTTCTAGTCTAAAAAACTAGAACAGTGGTGCTGTGATGAGTGTGAAGGAGTGGGGCTATGGGTATAAAGTATTAGAGTTTCCAACCCAGGGAGGGTCTTTGTGGCTAACAGGCTGAATCAAGGATGCTGTTTGGAATGGTGAAAGAGAAGCCTGGGAGAAGGCACTGTTTTTCTCATGAGACATTTGTTTTGAATCAGTTTCTAAGGCTTTCTGTTTCTAGTATATTTCCTAATACCACTGTCCAAGATAGACCAATAACTGTGCAGGGCAGGAAAACACAGAGAAAGTATACCAGTCCATTAAGGCTCACTGACATCAGCATGGGAATAAAATTCCACAGCGGTAGTGGTTTAAAGAGGTCCTTCTGGTGGGCCTCGAATAGAAGCAGCATGAATACATTGGTTTCCATGCTTTTTTTTTTTGTAAACAGGAAATCTGAGGCATTTTTCACTCCATTACTTGATTCATGAATTTGTATTTTTAGAATGTAACTAAAGACAAACATATTTTGGCATTTTTCTATCTCACAAACCAAAAATCCTCTCTAATATGAAGCAGTTCTTTCTGCCTCACCTAAAAATGTAAAGTATGTTTGAAGTTCTAACTGGTTGATATTATATCCACATAATTGCATTTCCTGCAGCAGCTCCCAACTAGGTCAGTGAATAGACACTGCATAGGGCCCTGTGGCACCATGACAGTGAGGTAATGAGAGCATATACTTGAGCCCCAGGTCTGTCATTTATATCTTCATTGAGCAAGTGAGATAATCTGTCTGAACATTTGGTTATCTATAGAACAAATGCAGAAATGCCTGTTTTATAGGACTCAGCCTAGGTTTCTCCTGAGCCTTTGTTGGAGGCTAAAAGTTGGTGGACACATAGCTTACTGATGAATAGGACCCCAGGGAACACAAAGAAAGGCCTGTTATGAAGCAGGGAAGGAGGGATATTACCCAGATATACACACATAGAACAACTGGTACTCAGTCCCACCAGAGGTGATTTGGAGGAACCTTATGGGAGGAGACCCAGAGCCAGTCAGCTTTAAGGCAGAAGGCAGTTATCTGGAAGACCCGTCACCCCACTAGTCAGCAGTGGTCTACATGGGTTAATGTGCATGCAATTCACTCCTGTGGGCACCAGCTGTGGGGCCAGATGAGTGGTACCTAGGGTGGGCCAAGACTGATTGGCACCTGTGTCTCGTCTGCTAAAGGATGAATGAAACACTGTAGCCGTGGCTGAAGTGAAGGTGGGTGTGAGGATCCTCTTTCAGTGCTTACTTATACAGTGAAATAGAGTAATAATAAACCAAGTAGCACAGTGCCAGCCATGTTACAGGCGCTTGACAAATGGAAACTGTTATCACCAGGGAAGACAAATGTCAGCCAATTCAAACGGTTTATTGTCTGGTGAGGTGGAAGATATAAAGGCAGCAGCACCTGCTGAATGAATCTAATCCAAAGCTAACAACTTGCCCTCGAACTTTTGTTTTAAGTTTTGTGCTTTACATTTGCATGGGTTGGTTGGCTGATAGGTCCAGGACAGGTACCCATCTTGTATCCTAGGCTGGCCCCTACCTAAAGCTCTTCCAGCTCTTCTCCTCAGTCTATGGAGAAGAATGGGGGTCTATGGCGAGGAGTGTACCACCTCACTTTCATGCTCTTTAATTCTTTTGTAAGTGAGGATAACAGACACCTGAAAGCTTTGTCTTTTAGTATACCTGAAGTGAATGAGGGAAGCAATCATTATGCTAGGAAAGTTGACTTTGATAGAAAAGAACAGAGTGCAGGGGGTCCGTGGAGGAGAACAGGGGTCTGTGGAGAAGAACAGGGGTCCGTGGAGAAGAACAGGGGTCCGTGGAGAAGAACAGAGGTCCGTGGAGAACAGTGGTCATCTCTGGAGAAGAATAGGGCTCTATGGAGAAGAATGGGGTCTATGAAGAGGGGTGAGAGTCCATGGAAAGAGTCAAAGGAGAGGTCACAGACCCTCTTTACCATCCCCTGTTCTCATCCCAGGCCATGTCCCTGCCAGCTCCCTTGTGAGCCACCTCCAGAACAGCTCTCAGATAACTCTCTTCTGGCTGCCACCACTTTAACTGAGGCACTCTTTCTTAAGCCACTCTAAGTGTCCCAGAGTGCCCTGACTGACTCCCGGTGGTCCACACATCACAGCAAACACTTTTCAACCAATGCTTTCGGGCAACTCAGTTCATTTTTACATGGAGCACAGCTCCCAGTCTACAGTACAGGTCATCAAATATGCGTGGCATGAAGAAGAAAGGTAGCCAAGGATTGGGCCAAGTTATGCCAATAGCGGCATTAAATCAGCAAGATAGGTCACAGTTTCAATAATAGGGCTAGGCAAGGTTTACAAGTTTACATTCTCCCACCTTTATCTGCTTGTGTTTTCCCATAGCATTTATTTCTGAGTCTCACTGCAACCATTTTTTTTTCCACTGCATATTACTAGCTCTGGGTAGATTTTTTTTTAACGAACAAATAAAATGGACAGCGACATTCCAGTGCATAGCAATCCGTTCAATTTTCTAGCACTATTGTGGGGCTTTGCGATTCATAAGCACCATTCCTATAGGTTTTAAGAGATGCGGAATGCTTTCGTTTTAAGGACTAGTGGCAAGTGTGGTTTTTCACATGTGAAGGGTCATGAGAAATGAAGCGAGAGGCTCTTCCTGTCGTGCTGGAGAGGCTGCTCTGTGACTACTGTCCCACACATACAGTAAACAGTGCAGCACCCTCCCCGCTCAGTTTACCCAGCAGGAAGTCTTCCCTGCTTCTCTGAGTTCAGCTTAGAAAGTTTGCTGGCTGCCTTGCACTCAAACAACCCTTGTGACTCAGCATCCTCCTTCCTGCTTCCCCCCTCACCTCCCTCCTTTACAAGACTGTGTACTTACTGTCTCCTTTTGTCTTGCCTTTCATCACTCACACTCAGTTAATCCCATCTCAATGGCTTCTTTCCTTATATGTAGGCACACACGGATAAACTAACCTTCAGCCCAAGCATTGGTTCAGAGGAAAGGGCAACATGGATTTGTTCTAGATTTTAAGCCAATCGCCTGTTGAAACTGAAAACCAATACAATAACACTTAGGTATTGTGGGGTGGTACATGGCTGTGCCTAGGGCTAGCAGTCTTCTGCCCTCATTCCTCACATCTGTTGTTTTCCACAGTCAAACCAGTGACACTGATCCTTGAACCAGCGGCATCATTATTTGAAAACAGTTTGCGTCAGTATTTATTTCTGAGAGATTACCCCCCCCCCCCCCCCCCCCCCCCCCCCGCTCTCCTCAGCAGGGGAGAAAATTATTAGTGTGGTTAGTTTGGAGATAATTCCAGTTGATAATAGTAATGAATTGGTGAAGTAATGTATTTTGGAACTTCTTGTTTCTCTCTCTCTCTCTCCAACATAATCCCTCAGAAGTGAACACCCGCTGGCCCAGCTGTATTGCCACTCCATCATGGAACACCATCATTTTGATCAGTGCTTGATGATTCTAAATAGCCCAGTAAGTACATCGTTTATTGTTGTGAATCTTAAAAGAGAGCTTTATAAATGCAGTTTTATTTTTAGGTTTTGGATTTATTCCCAGCATCATAAATTCTCGAACATTCTCTATTCCTTTTTGGGTAAGGAAGGAATAGCCCAAACACTTGACATCTCTACAGCCTCACTCCTGGACGGTAAGAACCACCCAGTGTTTCCCGTGAAGGGAATTTGATCACTGATCTTTGATTGCTCCAAACTAGAAACAAAACTGGTACTTTATGGCTCCTGCTTGACTTTTTAAACAGATGAACTGGTACATAGGGATCACTTTCTGTTTCTTCTTTTTCTTTTGGCTGTGCTAGGATAAAACCTAGGGCCTTGTACCTGCTAAACGGGAGCTTTTCCCCTCAGTTGTACTCCAGCCTCTGTCTTATGGGAGCTTCTAACTGCTCACAAACTGTCTTCTCTAGGAATGAGAAAGCAATCGGACTATGTGGATACGTGAATATTAGTAAATGTAAGAAAACATGTGCTACAGTTTGCTAAGTGAACACACATGTTAAAGAGTACAATGTTAGCAGAATGAAATTAGCTGGATTGTTTGTCTAATGAAACCGTTGGTAGTTTTTATTTTTCTTATTGGATTATTAATTATTAACATTATTTGTTGTCAGCCTGTGTTAACTTTATAAGGAAAAAAAGGAAGTTTTTACTATTCCATTTAAATAGTCACAATACATGCTACATAACCCCAGCCAATTTTATCACAATGTCTTCATGTTTGCTGGGGTTGGGTCTAGTTTTTTTCTCTGAATACTAGAAGAGAACTATGGGGTCATATTCTGGTCACTATTATTAGGTCTAACCATATAATATACGATTCTCATGTCACAAGCCAAAATGGCCACTCCAGGATAATTCACACTGTGGGGCCAATTTATTCCTTTACTGCCCCACAAGCTTCTCTCATTCCTTGCTATCATTTCTTTTAACTCCTTTCTTACTTCCAAGCCTCTGTGTAGTTTCCTGCCTCTTCAGCCACAGATCAGGAAAGTAGAGTAGGCAAGTAGAGTAGGCAAGAAAAGGGGCTGGCCTTTCCTATCAGACTGACATTATTGAGTGTCCCTCCGTTGTAATTTTTAAAAGTGGGTTATTGGGGAAAGTGAATGGGAAAAGGGGGGAAGGAAGAGGGGAGACCGAGCTCTGGGGACAGGAGCTGCAGAAGAGGAAAGGCAGAGAGAGAAAGAGAGAGAGAGAGAGAGAGAGAGAGAGAGTAGTAAATGTGCAAGGTGCTCTTAGTGGCTGCAGCTGAGGTCCTATCCTGTCAGAACCCCTAGGGCAGGCCAATGCAGATGCCTTAGTGGCTGCAGCTGAGGGCCTATCCTGTCAGAACCCCTAGGGCAGGCCAATGCAGATGTCGAATACTAACATGTACTCTTTGTACCTGATAGGGATTGGTCATTTTATCACCCTGCCGAACATCCTCATTGTGAAGATACCCCTCAACAGCCGCAGAAGGGTCAGCCAGTCTGGTCTTGCCTTTTAGATTTCTTGAGGATGCATCACGAGTCCATTCTAGTCCCACCTCTCCCATTGAACATAGGAGACACACACAGGGTCTCTCTTCCACTTGAGGCAAAGGGAAGTCTCACCTCTCCCATAACACCTTAGTGTGACTAAGAAGTTAGGGAGTGTGCAACTTGGGACGAAGCTCAGAGGTAGAGTGTGTTTTGCACATGTACGGCACTAGGTTAGACCCCCAGCACTGACAAAAAAAAAATTATACAACCTGTTTTGGCCACTTCCTCAGAAAGTTTAAATGAGGATTACTGGAGTGTTTGCGTGAATGTGGTGTGAATTAGTTGATATATGATTGGTATCATTTTTCATGTAGCGTCTGGGGAAAGCCGTGCAACAACTGTGGGAGTTGTTAGATTCTGTCATTCAGTAAGAAGGCATTTGAAGAGGCAGACGCAGGTCCTTGTGCCCTCTGCTCCAGGCTGTCTGAGGCTCTGGACACTGCTCTTCCTTCCCCATCAAATCCCACGCACACTGCCTCATGTCCCATAGTCATCGTCCAGCATTTCCTTCTGTTGCTCTTGTGTCCTCTCCGTGAGTTCGAAGGGAGCATCTAGGCCTGCTGGACCAACTCACCTCCAATGAGAACTTCTCTGGCTTGGCTCTGTGCTCTGGTTTTAGAGTGCCATAGGTTTTGAGTGATCTGCCCCAATACTACTTTTCCCATACACTATGTTATTTTTAGTGTATAATTTTCCAAAATTGAGACTGTAGAAACACATGCATGTTAAAGGAAAAACATCTGTACTTTATTTGGGAAAATGCTCTGTAGCTAAAGCTTTTTATGTATTTCTTGGTAGGGCAGGGAGATGATTAAAAAAAAAACAAAACAAAAACATGGGCTCATATAGCCCAACCTGGTTGTATCTCACAGAATAGCTGAAAGCTGGTCTTATCCCCTAATCGTCCTGCCTCTACCTCCCAAGTTCAGAGATTACAGGAGTGTGCTACCACCACCACACCCTACTCAAAAGTGTCCTGTTGGTGTCTTATTTCAAGTTCAGCTCCAAATCAAAGAAATTACTAACCTTTTAAAAGGTGTATTAAACATTTCCTATCATCCTTCTTTTGTTAGGTATATAAAATATAGTATGTTGTTACTTAGAATGACATACAAGAAAGCTGGCTGTACGTTTAGCTGGCTTCAGTCATAAGGGCTGTCTACATAGCTTATCTTTGTAAGCACAATTAAATAAAAAAAAAATACAGGTTGTACTCTTTGGAGAAAAACTGAGACTGCAGTATCAAAAGATATTTCAATTTCTCCTGGCAATTGTTTTATCTTAAAAATAAATAAAAGCATCAGAAGTTTCCTGAATAGTTTCATTTGGCCCAAATCTAAAATGATGAAATATTTTAAAATAACGATGGTGGCTGTAATCACACATTCCGTCATTAATTCATGAATCTCATTACTCCCTAATCACTGTGTTTTTCCCCCAGCCGAGCAAAACAGCAGCTCCCTGACTTCATTCTTCGCCTCCAGATCTTATTTCTAAGGCTCTGGATACTTTCTTGGATCTGAGACTTAGAAAGCCGTATGATTCGGTTTGCACACGTTCTGAGTATGCTTGGAGTGGCCGAGCTCTGTGCTTTGTTTAGTTCAAGATCAAAAAGAGCCACTCTGCTTTAAATTACAGACAGAAAAATCAATGTTAAAACAAAAACTTTGAGTGATGGTATACATGGATTGCTCCCAGTGCCCCCGACCCCATGCTTTTTCAGAAAACTATTTTACTAATATGGGAAATATGACCTACAAAAATTCCTGCATAAATAGTTCATGGAAAAAATTGGAATTTTTTTTATTATTGGTTTGGGGGATGTAATATAATTACATCATTACCTCTTTCCTTTCCTTCCTTCCAACCCTTCCAACCCTCACATCTTCCCCTCCTGGTTCTCTTTCAAATTCATGGCCACTTTTTTCATTAATTATTGGTGTGTGTGTGTGTGTGTGTGTGTGTGTGTGTGTGCATTCCTAGATATGTAAGTACAATCTGCTTAGTCTGTATAATGTTTCTTGTATGTAAGTTTTTGGGCTGACCATTTGGTATTTAACAATGTGTTGGTGTGTTCTTCCCTGGGAAGAGTTTTTTGCCTGCTTTCAGTATATGTATTTCTCCCTTTTAAGATCCTTACAAACCTTTGAGGGACTGCTTTCTTAGGTCACCAACTGGTAAGCTTAGGCTCAGAGCTGCTTGCCGTCTATATTGTCATGTTCATGAAGAACACATGCAATTTAATTCTCAGTATTGGTTAAGGTCTATAAACGTGAAGCAGAAATGTTACCAACTTTGTTACAGAAGCCACAGAGGAGTGTCTTTTTAATAGTAAGTTATCTAAAAATTTCACAACTCCATCTTCATGTTTATTAATATGATTTTGAGTTTTCAGTTTCAAATTTTTCCTGTTATATTTCAGCAATTAATCTGCCCAAAGGAAAAAGATGTACTTACTTAGTTTTTAGATTGCAACTCAGTCTCAAGGTTATGAGTTGGAAACACACATGTACAGAGGCAGGGATAATGTCATGTGGCTGTTTTTATCTTACATGACAGAGTGGTGCATGGTGAGAATGAATAGGAAAAATACTATGTATGTACTTTTAAAAAAGCAGGCTCAGAACTAGGCATGTGTTTAAGTCACGTGACTGTATCTTCAGTGTTTGTTCTTGAGAGCAGCTCCTGCGGGAAGAATACTAACAGTGTTTTTCTTTTTATATAAAGGGCAACCAGATTCTCAGTGGCCTCTCCATTGAAGAATATAAGACCACACTGAAAATAATCAAGCAAGCAATTTTAGCTACAGACCTAGCACTGTACATTAAGTAAGTTTTCAGAGGAGATGCCCTCCAAAATAGACCTTAAAGTGTTTTCATATCCACGCTGGGAAATCCTTATAAAAAGAAGCATCCAGACACAGCTGTTGCCTGACTGGTCATTTTTAAAGGCTGTCAAAGAAGTCTACTCTGTTGTACACTTGTTGCTCCACATGGTAGCACAGGGCTTTTGATGACGCTCTTCTGTTTCGGTGTCCAGTCTAACCATTCCAAAGGCTACTTATTTTCCTCCTTTCCCTCACTTGCCAGTCTCCGCCCATTCATGACGCTTTTATATTGCCACCCAAGCCTAGGTGGGCAGGCAAAGCACATTGAAAATAATATTTTTTTTTCTTCTCATTTGACTTTGTCAGAAGAGCGTTAATACAGAACTGTGAAGTTGTTCTAGTGTAAGATATTTGAGTGCTGTTTCTGATTGCTCTTGGCATGATTATTGTGCTTCTCCTAAAAGCTAGAAAGCTTGTCGGCATTTGGATAGTCAGTTTCCAACCTATAGGTTAAGGCCTCTAATGTCTTTGTGGCTTCACCCTCCCCGGGCTTCCTCTCACTGTAGGGCTCTCCCCCTTGACACCAGAATTCACGGCAACAGTGTTAGTCTTTCCCATAAGGAGTTAAACAACTACAACAGGCACACACTAGTTACACTGCATATCCACTGCTCCGGGTCTACAAATTTGAGTGCTTCTGCTTCATTGAAATTTGGGTCAGTTTAAGGTTAATCAGAACAGAAAAAAAAATGCAGCAAACTTCAGATTGTTCAAAAGTAATTTCAGAATACTGATCATCAAGTCACAAAGAACTTGAAAATGGTCTTGTTCTGCATACGTTTCCCATGCTTCATGTCATGTGGGTTTCTTCTCTAGATGTGGAACTTAACTTCCATTTTTAATAGTTAATCATACATAGTCCATTTTATCTTGTAAGTTTATCGTTTGTTTGGTCACATTTCTCAAGTCATTTGTTGGTGTTGAGCACACAGGAGGTAGTTGCTAGACACAAATGACTTTATGTTTATGCATGACAAGAAATGTTATCTAAAACTTGCTCTTTGCTTCCAAATCATTTAACATCTTCATTGCCTTTCTTTTTTTTTTGAATTCTGCAGCAGGATGTGGATATGTTAAGAGCCCTTAGACCCTCTTACCCCATGCACATAGAAGATCTCAAATCATTCTTACCATCATATTTTAATTCACACTATTCATTTTTTAATAAAAATGTTCTGGAGTTAAATTTGCCATTATTTGTCATCTGGAGTTAAAAATAATGTGCCTTTAAATAATTCCCATTGAAAGTAGACCAGGAAAGTGAAGGAGGGGTGCTGAGTGAAGGAGGGATACTGAGTGAAGACAGGGTACTGAGAGCTGAGGAAGTTCTATCGTTGGTTCTGAGGTGGAGAAAATAGAAATCTTTCTCACATATATACTCCACGAGTCTTGTAGACCAAAGGAGAAGACCCTGAAGACTCACCATAATCACCATGTATTTCTTATTTTCAAGGAGACGAGGAGAATTTTTTGAACTTATAAGAAAAAATCAATTCAGTTTTGAAGATCCTCTTCAAAAGGAACTATTTCTGTAAGTTGGCTTTATTGTCTGTGCAAGCTTCACTACCCAATTGATTTTCTCAGCTCACTTGTTAATTGGGATTATTTGTTATGTGTGCTGACTCTTGAGGCTGTCCACTGCTCCAGAGTATAGTACAAAGGACTAAATGCGGTTGTTGGCAAGTTGAAGTAAATGGATTGTTGCATTGTTGTAGACTGACTGACTGGCTGATGGGTACCGTAGAGAGGTGAAGCATTTATGGCCAAAAAGGTTCATTTCTCTCACCCTTTGGAATGGAAAAGCGAAAGTTAAGATTCTATAGATTCTGAGAACTGAATGGTGGCTGCAAAGTGTCCACTTTTCTTGGGCCACAGCACAGCAGTGCTCTCCAGTGGCCACTTCAAGATGACTTCTTTTCATCCTCAGTACACCAGTCCCTCCCTCCTTCTAGCTGTGGATAACGTCTCTGCTGCTACTTGCCACTGTTATTGCCAAGGCAATAACTTGTATCAGTAAAACAGAACCAGGAAGTCACCAGAGTCCCTGCACTTGAGAGGATGAAGGAAAACAATTACCACAAGTTCAAGGCCACCCAGGGCTATAATAATGTTGTGGCCCTGTCTCAAACAATAAACCAAAACTAAGGTACCAAAAATCAGTAATAATGAAAGGTACTAAAGAATTACATATAGTGTTGAAACCATGTTGATGTCAACATTTATTTAAACAGGTTGAGATTGATTAGCCTGCAAAACAAATACACACATTAAAAGGAAACAATATACAAACCCCTAGCCTAGTGTTCTGTATAGTTGTGCTTTCCTTAATGTCAACTTATCTTTCAGAATAGTGCCTTGGAAATGGGCAGGCCTACCCCTGTGACTGTTGTGCACTCCATAATAACACAGAGAGAAAACAATGATGTTCCAAGTTTGAGCCAGTTCTCCCTCTCCCAGAGAAGTTTGTACAAGCACTTATGGTTAGTCAACTTTGGCAGGCACAGTTGTGCTGGTGAGTTTGGTTGGACTCCTTTATGACAGTGGGTTCCAACTGTGATTAAAAGGACCTCCAGTGCACTGGGAGCGTTTAGACAGACAAATAACACTTTGCTTGTTTGTTTTGCAGGGATAGCCTTTTTGCCTATTTCATCAAACAAAGTAAAGGGACATTTGGATGTGACTCAGGGAAAGAGCGCTAAAGTCAGATGTTGAGTTTAGGGCTGTAGCTCCTCTGGTAGAATTCTTTTATAATGCTCACAAAGCTTGGGTTTGATCCCTAGCAGTGCATAAAACAGATATGGTAGACCACACCTGTAATCCCAGAACTTTGGTAGTGGATCTGAAATTGAAGGTCACTTTTGGCCACATAGAAAATTGGAGATATCTGGGACTACATGAGACCCTCCCCATCCCAAAAAGGCAATTTTCATAGCTGTCTCATTCTATTCCAAGGCACATTGTTATAGCCTGGGGCAGGGTGGTTCCCACTGCTCTAACCAGAGAAGGACTAATAGCTTAATCTCCCTCTTGCTTTTCTATGCTGGAGGAAAACTCTCCAGCATGTACCATTCAACCATGCAAAGTTATGACATAGAAAGTCCTACAGGGGGTGAGTGAATTAAGGTGGCCCACTAAGCCAGGACTGTTTTCATTAGGATGTGTGATGCTATCCTTGTGATTAATCGGTATGATTTCATCTCATTATCAATGTGGAAAAATCAATGATCAGGCAAGCTTTTACCCCAAGGATGAACTCCAGTAACACACAGGACAGACAACCAAACAGTGAGGCTGTGTCACAGTTACAACAGCTGGTTCCAAAATGAATATAATCTGTTGGTTCTTTGGTCTTCAAAATGTGAGTCTTCTGTTGTTAAGCAGATTATAATTTAACTTTTTGTTGGTGACTACTTACTGAGGATAAATACTCACAAGTTATGAGGGATTTTCTTTCCTTTAACAGAGCCATGCTGATGACTGCCTGTGATCTCTCTGCGATTACCAAGCCCTGGCCTGTTCAACAACGGGTATGTTGCTCAGTGGTGACCAAAGCAACACTAAAAAGTCAAAATAAGAGAAGTCTCTCCACTTAAAGCTAGCTTTGGAAGTAAAGATTTATGGAAATTTCCCCCTGATTTTTAAGCAGTATTAAAAGTATTAAAAGCAGATAATTGAACATGAAAATGTTTCTCTTTTTTTTTTAAAGATTCATTTACACTTAATGTAAAAAGATGGTATAAAACTAGCTGCTGGTTTAATTACAGTGCTAATTACTTCTTGCTCACTTTGGAATATTTTTTGAAGCATCTCCCTTTGGTCTTGAAAATTAGAAGAAGCAAGATTTTCTTGTGATTTAACCTGTTAGACTGTCCCTCTGTTCTAAGGAGACATTAACAGGTAGATGTAGGGAGTGTTAATAGATGTTGGCAAGGATCTGATCAAGAGGCTAGAAACAGATCCTTCCCTCTAAATGAGAAGTAACTGTCACAACTGTTTTACAGAGGGAATAGAGTAAAGGTACCCAAAATGACTAGATATGCATTGTTATGTTTACTGTGTTTTTGTTTGGAGGGATTGCATTGGAAATCATAATATACAAGCAAAGATTGTTGGCCTGCTTTTAAACAAAACTCTAGGCTATATATCATTGGTGCCAAGATAATATTGCCTTCGTTTAAAAAAAATGGAAACAATCCTTCCATTTCTATTTTATAGGATAATTTGAGGGCTATTGATGTTGGTTCTTCTTTGAATATATGGTAGGATTCTTTTCTCAATCCATATGGCTCTGGGCTTTTTTTTAGTTGGGAGATTTTTTTTTAATTACTGTTTCTATCTCATTGGATGTTATGGGCCTATTTTCTTCATGTCAATTTAACATTGTTAGGTCATATATTCTTGAGATTTATCAGTTTCTTTTAGATTTTCCCAGTTTAGTAGAATATAGAATATGATTCTCTGAATTTCCTCACTGTCTGTTGTAATACTTCCCTTTTCGTCTCTTTTTTTTTTCTATTTTAAAATTAGGTTTATTTTATGTGTATGAGTGTTTTATCTCATATGTATGCACCATGTGCATGCTTTGTGCAATGAAGTCAGAAGAGGGTATCAGATCTCTTAGAACTCTCTCTCTCTGTCTTTGGGTTAATTTGACTAAAGGTTTATCAAGTTTTAATATGTTGTTTGTTTTTTCCAAAGAACCAGCTCTTCATTTCATTGATTCTTTGTATTCTATTTTTTTATTTTTATTTCATTAATTTCACCTCTGGGTTTGATTATTTCTTATCATCTACTCTTTTTGGGTGTTTTTTTTCTGGAGCTTTCAGGTGTATAATTAAATTATTAATATAAAATTTCCTAATTCTTTTTATGAAGGCACTTGGTGCTATAAACTTTCTTGGTACTGAATTCTTGGTTTCCCATAGATTTCAGTATGTTGTGTTTTCATTTTCATCCTAAAGTAGGAAGTTGGTGATTTCCTTTGACCTCTCCTTGACCCAGTTGTCATTCAGTAGTGTACTCCTTAGTTTCCATGAGTTTCTGTACTATTTGTCATTTCTGTTGTTGATATCTAGCTTTATTATTCTGTGATCAGACAGGATAAACGTTGTCATTTAACTTTCCCCATATTTATTGAGACTCACGTAGTGTCCTAATATGTGGACAGTTTTGGAGAAAGTTCTGTGGGCTGCTGTGAAGAAGGTATATACTTTGGTGTTTGGTACTAATGTTCTGTAAATGTCAAATTTGGTTTATGATGTCATTTAGCTCAAAAGTTTCTCTATTTGGTTTCTGTCTGGATGCCCTACCTATTGGTGAGAGTATTAAAATCACCCACTGTTGCTGTGCTAGAGTTTATCTATGATGCTGTTTTCTGACCTCCAGACACACACCTTGTCACACATGTGCATACATACATGCACAAATAAATCAATGTTTAAAAAAGAGAGAGTTTAAAATAAATTGACTATGGAAGTAAAAATAGATAAACCTGATTTAGATTTAGAAAAACAAAAGAAGAACACCCTAAGAAAGACTAATTCATTCTAGGTAACTTTAAAACTGTAATTTCTAGACTGGAGAGATTGCTTGGCAGTTAAGAGCAGTTCTTTCAGAAGCTGGGTTTCACTTCCAGCACCTACATCAGGCAGCTCTCAACTTTCCATAACTCCAGTTCCAGAAGCCCCCCAAAACCTTCTTGTGACCTCCATAGGCACCCAGGCACCCACATGTGACAGGTCTTTCTCGTTGGACTTTCTTTGGACCACCAGCCCCCAAATAATGACACAGAGAATTATTATTAATTATGAATGCTTGCTTGACCTTAACTTAGACTTATTCCCAACTAGTTCTTATAACTTAAATTAACCTGTTATATTAATCTACATTCTGTCATGTGGCTTGTTATCTTTTCTCCAACTCCCTCCCAGTTTCACTGGCTGAATCCTAGTGCTTCGGCTTCTTCCTGAGTTCCTCTCCCTCCCTGGAAGTTCTGCCTATCCTCTCCTACCTAGCTGTCACCCATTAAACCAATCAGAAGGTGCCTTAGGCAGAGACACATCTTCATAGTGTACAATAAGATTATCCTACAGCGTGTGCGCACGCACACGGAGAGAGAAACATAAATAATTTTTAAATCTTTAAAGTAATAAGCAGTAATTTCATTATTAATTTAATTAATTTTAGCTGATGGGAATGAAAGCCAGGGCCATGAGTATGTTAGGCAAACACTCTTCCCCAAGTCCTTGAAATGGTAATTTACCCTAAGTCTATAGAGGGGTCTACTTTAAAAACAAAATCATGATAAAAAAGAAAGATTTCTTATAATTAAAACTTTATTATAAAGGATTTTCCAATAAAAACCATGGCACAGTGAGATTAGCTAGACCTCAAAATCTCTATGTAATGGCTAATCTTGGTTGTCCGCTTGACCACATATACAGTCAGATAAAACCTAAGTAACTAGGATACCTTTAAAGGATTTCCTCAATTCAATCCTTGGTAGACTTACCCTAAATCTGAATGATTTGATATCAGAAGGCACACCCTAGGCCACACCTGTTGGCAGACCAGATAAAAGGACCTACAAGGAAACTTGCTTTTTGCTGCTTGCCCTCACCTTTGCTGGTGAGTCCATCTCTCCTGATGCTGAGACATTCCTTCACTGGCATTAGAACCTACTTCTTTGGGATTCCAACACAGACCAAAGATCAGCCGAGGCACCCAGCTTTGTGGCCTGAACAACTATGGGATTCTTGGGAGACAGCCATTGTTAAAGACTACTTGGCCCACAGCCTGTTAGCCACTCCATACATCTTCATTCCATCAGTTCTGGTCCTCCAAGGAAACCTGACTAATGCATACTGTGGTACCAGGAGTGGTTCTACAGAAAAAGAATTATAAGGATGAATTTTTAAGTATCTGGAACAGGCTTTCCAGCTTATTGGCACCCATAGTTACTAGGGCCTCTTATAATCATGGAAAGCATTAAAAATCCTTGGTGTGAACTATTTGAGGAATGCATTGAGATAAATGCATTTGCTTATCCCGATTGACTTATTGGGAAGAGCAAGGAATTTAGTGACTCTATGCAGAGAACTTTTGACATTTGTGGGAAAACCAGTGCCAGCTGGTTGCTTCTAGCACCTCTGCATATATTAACAAAAGGAAAAAGTGAGCTGCCTGGTAAAATTAACCAACGTCTAGCATCTCAGTATCCAGTGAGAAAGGAAAACAATGAACTCTGTGGTACAATGCTCTAGGTGAGCATAAACAGTCTAAAGGTTTCTAAGTGTGCCCTGGAAGACAGTCTTCTCTCCAGCAGCCACTGAGCTCAAGTTGTGCAAAATCAAACTGAACCCTCACCATAAGACTGTCTGAATTACAATGAAAATCCAAGGCCGGGCCTCAGAAGGTGTCATCGGCTAAAGGAAGGACACTAATTGGCAAGGAATTGGATCCCGTAACTTGGGATGGAGATGTGTAGAGGGTCCTCCTGAGGCTGAGGACTTGAACCCTCAGATTCTGGAGGGTTTGTTTCAGCAGAGGAATCAGTCTCTCCACCCCAGCAGAGGGTGCATCCCTACCTGACTTCCAGCAATACCGCCCCTTCTTCCTAATCCTGAGAGAATTAATCCTGCTTTGTCTACTGAACCAGTGGTAACTTCCCCTGGAAGAGATGCCAGGCAAGACAATACTGATGTCCCTCAGGGCCCACCAATATTTTCCTCTAGACCTATGACCAGACCCCAAGGCTAAACAGGCTCCTAGAGTGGAAGTATAAATGAGGTCCATGAGAAGGTACAGTATACCACAGAAGAGCTTAATGAATTTGCCAATTCATTCAAGCAGAACTCTCGGGGAATCCGTGTGGGAATGGATTTTATAGGTTTGGGATAATGGTGGAAGAAACAAACTAGATCAGACTGAGTATATTGATACAGTCCACTGAGTGGAGATTCTAGGTTTAATATGGAAGCTCACACAGTTGCTTGTGATTAAAAAATGTTGATTGTCTTTCTCTTACACAAAATTACTGGTCTCCTATATTGATGACAGTATGCTAATTGGACCAAGTGAGCAGAAGGCAGCAACCACTTTGGACTTGTCAGTAGCACATATGTGCATCAGAGGATGGGAAATAAATCCAACCAAAGTTCAGGGGCCTCTACCTCAGTGAAATTCTTAGGAGTCCGGTGGTGTGGACCATGCAGAGATACTCCTTCCGAGGCGAAGGATAAGCATTGCACCCGGCCCCTCCCACCACTGAGAAAGAAACACAGCAGTTACTGGTCCTATCTGGATTCTAGAGACAGCATGTTCCTCACTTGGGTATGTGACTTTGGCCCTTATCCTAAGTGTCAAGGAAAGCTGCTAGCTTTGTGGGGGCCTGGAATAGAAGAAGGCTCTGCAGCAGGTCCAGGCTGCTGTGAAGGCTGCCTTACCACTTGAAACATACGATCCAGCAGACCCTATGTTACTTCAGGTGTCAGTGGCAGATAGGGATGTGGTTTGGAACCTTTCATAGGTGAATTGGTGAATCACAGAGCAGAGTTTCTCTAGAGAAACCTGACTAATACACTGGGCATCCCAGGGAACTTCTACACAGTTAGGATAGCCATTCTGAAAATGTGGGGCTCCACACTAGATTTTATACTTTCACTATCAATTATATTTATGCACTTATTCACCACCACCCCCAAAAAAGTAAAATGAAAAATCAATGACAAATTTGATAAAACTAAAAAAAGCAATAGTCAAAGCAATTCTGAGGAGCAAGAATACTTTGAGAAGTAGCACAACACCTAACCTCAAATTATACTACAGAACTGTTAAAGTAGACAGGGCTGGAGAGATAGTACTTGCTGCTCTTCCAGAAGACCCATGTTCACTTACCAATCCCTAGGGATCTGATGCCCTCTTCTCACCTCTGAAGGCACTAGGTCTGCATGTGGTGTACATACATACAAGCAGGAAAAACACCTATATAAAATATATTTTTAAAATTTAAATAGACAGGTATTCCATTGGAATAAATGAGAGGACCCAGAAATAAAACAACAAAACTATGCCAGCTTGATTTTTTACAAAGGAGTGAGAAATACATTAGGGAGAGGTAGAGTAGCCTAGTCAACAGATGGTGCTGACAAGTCTACCTTCAAGAGAATGGAGTAAGAGTCCTATCTTTTAACACTTGTCAAAAGTCCATTCAAAAGAGATCAAAGACTTTAATTTAAAACCCAAAATGCTGAGACTACTGATGAAAATGGGGGATACCCTTCAAGACAGTGGGTTGACAGAACTTCTGAATAGACCTGCTGTAGGACAGAGACTGGCCCTCAGTGTCAGCAGCAACTACCTGGGCCTACGTGAAATGAAAAGTTTAAAGCAGAACAAAGGGAAACCATCAGCAGAGCAGACAGACAACCTGCAGAGTGAGAAAATCTGCACCAGCTAGGCTTTAAGAAATTAATTTGCCAAGGGAATAAAACTGCCAGTCAACAAATGGGCTAATGAAGGTATAGACAGTTCTCAAGAAAAGAAACACAGATGGCCAATGACTTTTATAAAATGTGTTCAATAACCCTTACCATGAGGGAGATGCAAATTAAAACTATTTTGAGATACCATATTATCCCAGTCAGAATAGCTCTCATCAACAAATTTGACAACAAATGTTGGAGACAATTTGGAGAATAGGGAACCATTGTTCATCACTGGTGGGGGGTGTGTGAGTTATTACAACCATATGGAAGTTTGTTTGGAGGTTCCTTTGAACCTTAAAAATAGAGCTCCCACATGACCCATCTGTGGGCCTATATTCATAGAACTCTGTACTCAGTCACAGAGATGTTTGCATACTCAGGTTTATTGCTGCCTTATTTACTGTAGCATAGGATTGGAGTCAACCTAGTCTATCACCAGATGAACAGATAGTGAAATATGGTACAAATATAAACTGGAATGCTATCAGCTCTAAGAAAAATGAAATCATAAAATTTTCATGGAAATGGGTGGACTTAGAATGTATAAGGTTAGGCAAGGTCACACTGTCTCAGAAAGAAAAACTAAAACTATATGTTCTTTCTCATGTGTGGATCCTAGACACAGATCTATGTAGACACAGATATAGATGCTGTAGATATAAATGTATAGGTGTAAACAAATGTTCAAGAAGATACAATATAATGTAGAAAGGAGAATAAGAAAGAATAAATACTAGGTGATGGGGAAATTCAGATAATGAGCATATGAATCATGAAAGGATATAAAACTAAAATAACTTTAATAACCATTATCATTTAGCTGGAGAGTTGGCTCAGTAGTAATTAGGAGCTCTTGTTGCAGCCAGAGAGTAGTGGCACAGGCCTTTAATCCCAGTACTCGGGAGGCAGAAGCCAGCCTGGTCTAGAGAGTGAATTCCAGTACAGCCAAAACTACACAGGGAAACCCTGACTTGGAAAACAACAACAACAACAACAACAAAAAGAGCCCTTGTTGCTCTTACAGAGGACCTTCCTGGATTTCATTCCCAGCACCCACATAGCAGCTCACAACCATCTGTAATTCCAGTCCTAGGGCATCTGATTCTGATGCCCTCTTTGGTTTCTGCAGATACCAGGCATAGGTGCGGTCCACAGTTATCCATGCAATAAAAATACTCATACACACAAAGTAATAAATAAATCTTTTTTTTTTGTTTGTTTTTTGTTTTGGTTTTTCGAGGCTGTCCTGGATCTAGCTCTTGTAGACCAGGCTGGTCTCGAACTCACATAGATTCGCCTGCCTCTGCCTCCCGAGTGCTGGGATTAAAGGCATGCGCCACCACTGCCCAGCTTAATAAATAAATCTTAAAAAGTTTAAATTAATTGTTATTGTGGGTAATTTTATATTGATATTCAATTAGTATTGTAGGCAGTATGGGGCAAAAGCAGAGAAGAAGCTTTGTTGGTGTTGACAACTAGGATTTTCGTGTGAATGGAGAGATAAAGCTCTAAGACAGGTAGCATTATACAGAAATCCTATTGCCCTGAATTTGAATTGGAAATACTCTGTGAAATTATGCTTCATTCTAGTTCTATCCCTTGAAAGAGTTTCTGCATAATGACGAGCCACTGGTATTGAGTTTCTTCTGGACCGAGGCCTCTAATTGACTCAGTTTGGAGCATCCATGGCTCCATCAAGACATGACTAGTTGAACCACAGAGCACGAAGATGAGCATAGACAGCCTTGTTATACTAAAAGCACAGAAGTTACCAGAAAGTAATAGAGTTTGTCCAGAGAACAGACACCAAGTCCAAGAAGCTTGCAGTGGCCAAAATGGAAGAAGTTGAGCACCCAGAAGGACTGACATACATAAATATGTTTAAACCCAAGAATTCATATAATAAAAGTATTAGAAAAAATTGGCACCTTTGGTAGATGCTTGAGAACGAAGTGGGTTTATAATAGGTACACTGGGAAGAAGTCTGTTTTCTTAAATATGAATTACACTGAAGCATATCCAAATAATTGATGCGGGGAAACTTACTGGTACTTAACGCTGATAAAACAAAGCTAAGAAATGTTGGCTTTGACTGTCACCCTTGTGAAAACCCCTAATAAATGGACTCCAGAAAACATCAGTAATTACTGCCAGTATCACAAAAAGAGGGGCCGACTCCATATAATTAGTGACTGACTACTGCACTATGCCTAAGGAGCTGACTGGTGAGAAAATGAAATGTCAATCTAGCTAGGCTTTAAGAAACCAGGAAAAGGTGTTATGAGAATGTGGTCTACAGAATCTAGGCTCTGGGAAATTCTAAGATAGACAAACTGGAGTGTTCATCAACAATAGAAATTGGAAGAAAAGATTGCAAGAGAGATTACAAGAAACCTAAAAGCCTGTCAAGCAGCTGCAGTACAGCTGGCTGGGTGCTGGTTGTTTGTTGGGTGGTGGTTGTTTGTGCGTTTGCTTTTTTTTACCCACCTTTTATACACAGGTGCTTAAGAACACGGGGTTTGCTGTGACATCTTGTCTCCTAGGAATGTCAGAAGCCACATCCATAAAGTCTGAACAACATGACTGCCCAACATGACATCGGTAGATGTGATAACATGGTTGGGGAACAACTCACGAGGCCTCAAGCTTTCACAAACAACTATGGGGGCAGGAGAGACCATCTTCCCCAGCCAGGGAGAGCACATCCCATACCAAGTGGTCAGCCCTGAAAACATGCACACAAGTAACATTATGCTGACTGAGCAGGCTGTAGTTAATGTGTTTAGAAATTATATCTGTACCCACACACGCTAACAACAATTAAAGAAAAAGGAGGCCATGAATTTGAAAACAAGCCAGGTAGGGAGTTTTGAGTAGAGACTAAATGTGATCAAAATACTTTTTATGAAATTCTCAAGAAATTTGTGCTTTTTTAAAAAAATTAAACAGCTGGACGGTGGTGGCGCATGCCTTTAATCCCAGCACTTGGGAGGCAGAGATGAGCAGATCTCTGTGAATTTGAGGTCAGCCTGGTCTACAGAGTGAGTTCCAGGACAGGCTCCGAAGCTATGAGAAACCCTGTCTCGGAAAAAAAAAATTAAAGAAGCAGGTGCTTGATAAATAGCTTGCTGGTTATTCATACAGATGGGCACAGTCTTGGTACTGATTGGCAAACTGAATGAAACATGTCACTTCCTGCTTAGTTACAGAAGAGCACATGATCGTGGTTAGTTGTATGGTTAAAGCAAATGCAGCCTTATTTCTGTTTCTTGTTGCTGTTTTATCCTAATGCTCCTGATGTGGTGGGAACAAGCAATTTGCTACATTTAATTAACTTTATTCAAAGTCCCAGTTTTGCAGAATGGCATGCTTTCCCCTAGCACTCAGTCTGCTGTCTGTTTCAGATAGCAGAACTCGTGGCAGCTGAATTCTTCGATCAAGGAGACAGGGAGAGAAAAGAACTCAACATTGAGCCTGCTGTAAGTACGAGGCTTTATTGGTAAGAACTACTCAACCACATTTTTGAACCATATACTTACCGTAAAGCCAGGCTCTTAGTGAGTACATCAGCCTAGTTTCAATCATGCAATCCGTTTGCCTAGGCCTCTTGGTGCTGGAGTTACAAGCATGTGACCACACTTGGCTAAAGAGTATAATGCTTCTTAATACTTCTATGATACCTTTCTGTGGGAATGGGGTTTCTCGTTGTACATTTTAACACTTTCTTTTCAGAAGAATTAAACATGCTGATTACAAAAGCAAAAGCAAGCTAAGAAGACAAAATTGCTTACAAGTCAAGCCCCCAATTTTCTTGTAGTTTGTTTTCTCCACTTGAATGTAATAAACCACATTTATTCTAATATGATCTTTGTTGTATATGGATTGTAATTACATGAAATGAGTGTAATCACAACTTAATTCACTTCCTTTGCTGTAGTATTTGCCAAGTTCACTGTCACTAACAGCACAGTGATAAACAGCTCCATTGCTGCCCCTTCCTCTTCATTATTTTGCGAGGGAAAATTTCCAGAAGGGAACAGTGACTTTAAAGTGTTTGATGTTGCCATTTAATATAAAGGTACAGATCTCCAATGTGAGATCTATTTGTTTTAGTTTCTTCCCTTTCTTTGTAGGGTCAGGAATACATACATACATACATACATACATACATACATACATACATACTTGCATGCATATACATACATACATAGTTGCCATCTTAGCTCCTTGAGATAACCACTGATCTATCTTTTTACAGCAGCCTTTCCTCTGAACTTGGAATAACTGTAGATCTGTCTGTGTGTATTTTCAGGATCTAATGAACAGGGAGAAGAAAAATAAAATCCCAAGTATGCAAGTTGGGTTCATAGACGCCATCTGCTTGCAGCTGTATGAGGTATTTACAGGGAAAATACTAGATTGATAAACTTAGATTATGTTATGAAGAGATTAACACTAGACATATATTTTTGCTTCTAAGGCAAAAAAATGTAATTATCATTGGTAGTGTTTCTTTCTGCTGACGAAGGTAATGTCTTTACAGAACAAGGGATACATTTCACACTTCTTATTTCTCAAAAGCAGTGACTCACTCCATATATAAATATCTCCTGAGTGTCTAGGGTGTGCTGGACACCAGCACATGAATTTAGGGGACACTAAGAGCCATGTGCTGGTGCTGCCCTCGAGGAGATATTTGCTGCCTACTCTGTGTTAGCATGATCTTTTGCAAGTTTCATTTTATCCTAAGTACAAAACACAGTCACCCAACTTTTTTTCACTGTCATATTGCAGCTTGCATACTGTTAAGAATTGTTTTTCTTAATACTTAGAGAAGGAGGTTGCAGGAAGTCAGGCTCCAGTTGCCCTTCTACTAGTGTCACTTCTTTTCTTTTTGTAGCTTTTGTTGTTCTGGTAGAAAGATGCTTCTAATATTTGGTACACTGGTTTACATGTTTATTACCCGGTAAAGAAAATAGATGCTGTCTTTGTTTCTAAAAGCTCAAATGGATATAAGTTTCATTTATTTGAGAAATTTACCCTGGAGTTGTCATGAAAGGTTAAGGCCAAATAAAAACTGCAAAGTTTCCAACCCAGACATTGCAGGTTCAGTAATTGGATGTGCAAAGTTCATCTTCCACAGAGAAAGAGTATTTGCCCCAAATATGTAGTTGGTAGAAAGCACAATTGAGAATCCAGCTGTATTTATTTTATTTATTTATTTATTTATTTATTTATTTATTTTTCACTGAGGGACTCGAACTCTGGTTCTTGTATATGCTAGGGAAGCATTCTACCACCAAGCCATAGCCTTATTTTTTTGTTTGTTTGGTTTTTGTTTTGTTTTTCTAGACAGGGTTTCTTTGCACATCCCTAGCTGTCCTCTAACTCACTTTGTAGACCAGGCTGACCTCAAACTCACAGAAATCTGCCTATCTCTGCCTCCCAAATGCTGGGATTAAAGGCGTGCGCCACCACCCAGTCTCCAGTTCTCATTCTTAGTTCAGGGTTCTAGCATTGTCTTAGTTCTATTGCTGTGAAGAGATACCATGACCAAGGCAATTCTTATTAAGGAAAGCATTTAATTGGGACTTGCTTACAGGTTCAGAGTTCATTACCGTCTATAATATGACTTCTAGTAGGTCTTAATAATAAAAGCCCGGAGCCAGAAATTGAGGATGAAAGCTGAAAGATCAGTGAAGCTGAGCAGCCAGCCACTAGAGCTCTTACCTCTATGAAATCCTCAGATTGAAAAGAGACCCAGCTCATGTCTCCTCCCACCTATATTCCTCTCTCTGCCCAGCCATCTCATTTCCTGTCTGTCTTTACAGACCTCCAGACCTCTATGCTAGTGGCTAGCTCGGCCCTCTGATCTTCAGGCAAGCTTTATTTGTTAGAGTATAAACAGGATCTCACCACAATCATCATGGCCAGATGCAGACAAGCTTGGTACTGGAGAAGTAGTTGAGAAGTCCATTCTGATCCACATGCACAGGGGCTAAGAGGTAGGGGGTGAGGGTTGTCCTGGTCCTGATCCTAAGCTTTTGAAACCTCTTAGCCCATCCCCAGTGATACACTTCCTCCAACAAGACCACACCTCCTAATTCTTCTCAAATAGTGTCACCCCTGGTGACTAAACATCCAAATTTATGAGCCTAGGGGACAATTCTTATTCAAATCACCACAAGCACCAAATAGTTTAATAAATAATCCTGCTGATAAGGAGGAAGGGAACACCATAGAGCACCTATGTCACCTCTGCTGCACTGTCTCCCCACAGCCCTCAGGGTCCATTTGGCTAGTTTCCTCTGTTGTGAACAAGTTCTTTTCCAGAAGCTGCTGGGTGCAGTTTTTTAGGCACCTTCAGATCTCCTCTGTATGACAGACACTGCCCTGTTGCTTGAGTATAGAGCTTCTCAGTTGGTGGTACCCATGGCACTTGATTTTCCCATCCCTGTCATTAGGAAGGCTAGTGTAATCAGAAGAGCCATTCTAGATCTCCCTTTGTTCTATAGTTGGTGTTAGCACTCTTTGAGCTGTTGGGAATTTTACATCATCTTAAAAGATGTTTTCACTTTTATCATAAAAGTAGTATATTCTCACTGCAGAGCAAATAGAATGTCCCAAGAAACAAACCAGAAGAGAAAATTTCTCATAGTCTGACTGTTTATAGATAACTACTAATGTCAGCATGTGTGCTGTAAGATGTTTCCATGTCCTTTAATAATAGCTGATGCTTGAAATCCATGATATAACATACATAGTTCCATGTCAGATGTGTGCCTGAGACATTTGTAATGACCATAAAATACTTACAGACTTGTTGTTCGGTATTTGTCATTTGTCTCTCTATGACAAAGAAAGCTACAGTAAATGTTCTTGTAGATAAATGCATGATACTTGGTAGTAATAATAACCTTTATGAAAATCTTGCATTGAAAAAGTACATTTCGTAAAACCATTCAATGGGAAAGCACAAGCATGGGTTCCCACAGCCCCCAGGGACAGCCAACTTTCATAGGGACCCAGAGTCCAGCCCCACAAATGAGCCCCCATAGCTCAGTATTTACATTCTTTTAGATTCATTTTTATTTTTAATTATGTGTGTGCCTTTGTGCGAGTATGTGCACATGAGTACAGGTGTTCCTAGAGGCTGGAGGCAATGGATCCCTCTGGAGTACTAGGCAGTTGTCAGCCCCCTGACCTGAGTGCTGGGAACCAAACTCAGGTCCTATACAAGACAATACCTGCTACCCAGACACTCCCCTCAAGCTGTCCATCAAGCCCCCTCAGTTGTTACTTGGAAGTGCTTGTGTTCTCTTTGTCCTCAAGTATGCCTCCTTAGATGTGTAGCTTAAGGGGAATCTTTGGCAAATACTCTGTGTGTTTGTGTGTTCTTAGGACTTAAGAGAATGCCACCTGTGGGGCTGCTCACACGGTGAGTGTGGCCCTTAGTGGCAAACCTGTGGCAGAGGCTTCATTCTAGTTGTTTCCTTTCTCTTTTTAGGCCCTGACCCATGTTTCAGAGGACTGTTTGCCCTTGCTGGATGGCTGCAAGAAGAACAGACAGAAATGGCAAGCCCTTGCAGAGCAGCAGGAGAAGACTCTCATTAATGGGGAAAGCAGCCAGACCAAGTGAGGCTGACAGCGCGTCCGCCGTGCGCAGACTGCCACAGGCCTGGTTTCTACACTATGCATATTTGTGTGCACTTCGCCACTGCTGTATTTTGTTTTTGCACAACTTTTAAGAGGACATAGCATGAACTGTTTTAGGGATTGCTACCTACTTTCTGTACTTTTGTTTTATGCCACTGAAGTGAAATGAGGAGTCATATTCACTTATAACACATTGATAAGAATGGCGTCAATGGCCTTCCGACACCCAGTTTGGTTTTGCCTGGAAATTTATAAATAACTGCCTTTGTGTTTCTGAGTCACCGGTATTTCAAACATGTTAGGAATCTCTCTCAAACTAGGTTAGAGGCAAATTGATTATGTTCTGGGACATTGAAAGCCATCATGAGATGAATGTTGACTGGGTGGATGGTAGGAAGAAATGAATATAAACTTGAAGAGTCTTAACATAGTTAAGGCATTGAGAAACAAGAAAATGTGGTACCTAGCTGCCCTGCTTTTTCTGTGATGGGGACAACTTGTAGTACATCCCATCTATGTGGCAGAGCAAACAACCTGACAGCAGTCTCAGAACTTAAAGCCCAGGGCCAAATGATTCCCCCCACTGACCTTCCCAAGGTGCCAGACATGGGAGGGCCCAGAATAGCCCTCAGCCTACAGAAATGTTTCACTGGAAGTTCTTTCTGACAATCTGCATTTTAAATACTGAAAACTTTAAAAGCTATTTCTTTTTAACTTTTCATTGCCTTAACACAACAATCAAGTTTCAATGGAAAAGTGGTCCCAGGAGCACACTTGCCTGAAATCAGGCATGACTACAGTATGAAAGTGCAAAAATTCACCTTTATTCCTCTCTGAAATTTACAGGAAAAGAAAATAATTAGACGAGTAGCAGAGGTTTGTGTCTATAAGGGAGCTCAGACAATGAGTTCAAAGAGACAGAGTGTGAAATCTTCTGCCTGAATAAAAACAGCCTTCGGAATTTCGAGCAGATAGTGAATCACGCCCATCAGCTGGGTTAGGGGAGGAGTATCTGTTCCAAATGGGCAATATTACTTGAGTTTGAGGAGAATTAGAGGGATTTGATTCATTAACTTCCACCCTTTTCCCACTTCCTCCCAAAGTGGGTGAAGTATTTGACCTGGGTTTCTAACATTAACTTGCATTCAAATGGTTTCTTTTTCCTTTTCTATTGGCTTAAAATTCAACATGTTCCCTTTAGATCCTGTGTATGTACATTTTACTGTGGCTTTGTTCTTAACTGAGATGAGAAAAGGCAAAGCAAGTTGTGCATTACTGCTTTGTATTGGTGAAGGCTAATCCAGGGAGTTGTCACCCAATGCCACTTGTAATTGTATTACTATTGTAATACTTGTATTTTCAGAGTATTATTTCTTTGTGTTTCATGATGTACAGGTGAAATCTGTAAGGTTGCCTCTAATGCACTGGTGTGTAAATTACACAGACTGTCACTAACAATAGTCATATCAGCATACTGTATACACCCATGCACGCATACATAATTCTTGAGTGCAGATGCGTGCTTAGAGAACATTCTCCTAGCCCAGCACTGAACCCCACATGTTGTGACTGAGCAGTTATACTGAAATGTAGTCATGCACATTTGTAGCTTAAGTCACTTAGAATATTTTTAAAGATGACATTGTGTGTGGAGGATTTGTCTGCCATGTTAACAAGCAAGAAGTCTGAGTTTGCTTTAGGTAATGGTCTATTTTACCTATTAGTGTAGACATTAAAATAGGAAGAACAGTGCCATGCCTTGTTATGTTATTGCTGGGTATTTTAGTTCATACACAGGAGATTTGTATTTTATTCAAATAATTTTTATTTTATAGGAAAACCATTCCATACATAGATTTCTGTCTGTGGTACAAGAATACAAGTCACAGTTTTGTTCTGAATGTGAATATTTCCTTTCTAGTAGCCTCTCAAGTTGGAATATATTTATTATATTACATTATTATAATCTCTCCCTTATGCTGCCATGCATTGATATTGCCCATAATGAACAAGATACTGTTCTTGTCCTAGACAGTTTGTTGGGTTAATTGCTTGACTGGCTGTAGAAAAATAATATGATAACATTTCATTTTAATTTTTAGCCAGAAAAATTCCTGTGTTTTTGTAACTTGTCTATAAAATTTTCTGCTCTTATGTGTTTAGAAGATCTGCCTTTGCCGGTCATGATGCTGTATGAATGTAAGTCAGTTAACCTCTGCACCTAAGGAAGCTGTGTTCTAATGTATTTAAGTTTGGGCAAAGCCTGTGTTCAAGGGAAACTTCACAGGAGGCAGCTAGCTCCTAAGCCTTCCTTACGGGCCTTTGAGACCACTGTCAGAAATGGGGAATTGGAGTAAAGAAGTGATCTCACCCCACAGGTCATTTCTTATGTTGAGTTCTTTAGATGGGAAGCAAGTACGTTTAATCCACTCCACAAGGACCTGGTTCGGAGCCTAAACCCAGGATGCTGCTTTGTCACTGGTTGATTAATTACAAAGAAGAGTTTCTGTTAGTAGCAGCATGGAGATAAGGATGGATATTAAAATGTACTAGAAATATTGGTTTCTTGGAGGAACTTGAATCCCAGACAATTTTTGCCTACCAGTAAAGTGCCTTTACTCTCAGAGTGTTGCAGAAGTGTGAGGCTTGGCAACTATTGCATTTCCAAATTTCCTGGGATTTTCACTAGATTACACTCCCAAACCATAGCAGGTAAGCAGCGAGGCTTTTTCTTTAGCCTGATTTAAGACGACAGAAGACAAAGTGTTCCCTTGCTCTCCTGTAAACAGCTGTTTGAAATAAGGTGGTAGAACTTATTTACTTGGTATCAGCCATGCATCAGGCCACCTTTTATTAAATCCTCTCCATATGTTATTCAATCCTGTCCATATGTTAGGTACAGTGCTCAGTGGCCGAGACAGAGCAGTAACTCCATGGAGCTCACGGGCTATACAGGAAATGACTAAGTGCACCATCGTTTCTCATCCTGCCAACTTCCCATGCAAGTGTAGAGGGCGTCCCGTCACTTTCCTATTCACCTACTGTGCACTTTTATCCAGAATTTCCTCTACATCTGTGAACACCCTGTCTTCCTGTCAATATGGATCTTTTAACCTGCTGATAGCCTGAAGAACACCTGTGTAAGGAAGAAGTCACATCTCCCATGACAGATCATGTTTCCATATCCAGTCAGGCAGAGAGGCATCAGAGTTCTCTGTGAATCCCCTCTGCCCTCTCACAGAGAGCAAAGAAGGAAGTATTAGAGCTTACCTCACCCTGCCTCATTCTTATCAAAAAGCCTGTGTAGACATGTCTTGAGTGTTGTTGGAAGTGATGTAAATAGCTGAAAATATAAATTTCTATTACAGTTTAAGAACCCCAATGAACCATCACTCGCCACTATTGATATCTATTTGTATTCTTAATGCCTTTTCAATATATCTGAACAAATATATAGTTTCTGGCACTATTTTTATACTAGCATAAAAGAGTTACTATGTAAATTATGTTTTGCTGTGAAGCCGTTTAAATGATTGAAATGTTGGTTTCTTTTCTTTCCTCTCACCACACCGAAAACCATTTCTGACCTTCTGTGAGGGGTGTGTGTGTCACGCCTCAGAAGCGCTTGCCCACCCACCCCTGGTCCCTGTGAAGTCAGACATGATCAAGGTGGTTTTTCCATTGTGCAAAGTCATCACACATCAGTTGTTTTATCCTTTTGCAGTGCTGTAAAAATAAAACAAACGAACAAGAACTGTATGTGGTGTAATCATTAGGGGACTTTGAGTTTTAAGAATAAGGGAGGGATAGGGAAATTGGGTTTCACAATGGGAAAGCCGGTCCAATAGTTTAAGAGAATTTTACACTGAAGTTTAATAAATATTTAGTCCTTAAATAGACTCTTCAATAATAGTCATTTTATTGGTAATATCTCGCTACCAATTTGAGGGTCACGTTTCACACCATGACAGCACTGTGGAGGGTGATGGTATCATTACCAACCTGGTGTGCACAGGGAGCTAAAACTTAGGTGTTTCTTTCTTACGAAAAGTCTTGAGTCAGGCCCAGATCTGTAGCTTCACAGCCACTGATAATCTTCCAGCCCATTCCTTTATGATGCAAAAGTTTTTTTGTAATGCAAAAACTTACAAAGTCCCAAGTCCAGGCTGACTGGACCAAATGTACTTCCTAGAAGCATTATAAACAGCATGTCTCTCAGCAGGCCTTGCTTTGTTTTTGGTTTTATGGATATCGGTCCTTAATTTAGTTCTCCTGATAAAGGTTAATGTAGTGCCTCAAGGGACTCCTGACACCCATTGGTGTTTCTGGTATAAAAGTCACTGTGGTAAAGAAACTGAATTCTTTTTTTTTTTTTTTTTGGTTCCTATAGGGAAGCCCCCTTTAACTGGTCAGAAAAAAATGTCTCACCTAAAGGAATATTGCCTTTAAGAACACATAAAAGAATAGTTAAAAATTCTGACCATGAACTAATCACTGAACTGAACTAGAATCCATTGCAGAGAAGGAGGACTGATGGACAAAGGGGTACAGACCAGGCTGGTGAAACCCACAGAAACAGCTGACCTGAACAATGGAGAGCTCTTGGTCCCCAGACTGATAGCTGGGAAACCAGCACAGGACTGATCCAGATCCCAGGAACATGGGTGTCATCGAGGAGACCTCAGAAATCTATGAGGCCTCCTGTAGTAGTTCAGTACTTATCCCTAGCATAGGTGTGGACTTTGGGAGCCCATCCCACATAGAGGGATACTCACTCCCTGAGCCAAGACACACAGAGGTGGGCCTAGGTCCTATCCCAAAGGATACGACAGACTCTGATGACCCCCTATAGAAGGCCTCACACTCCCTGGGGAGCAGAAAGGTAGGGTTTTAGTTGGGAGGGGTAGTAGGAGAGGAGGGGAGGGAGAGGGAACTGGAATTGACATGTAAAACAATCTTGTTTCTAATTCAAAGAAAAAAGAAAAAAAAATCTGACCATGAGAGGGCGCCAGAATTTCACCTAAAGAAGTAACAAGTGGCCACAAAGGATAATTAAAAACTGTTTCTTCAAATATTTTTGGTGACTAAATATGAAAAAAAAATCCAAGTAAGAATTTCTGAAAGTAATGGGAAAAGTCATTTTTTCTATTACTATGATGAAAATGTAAAGTGTTGTTTATTGCCCTTAATCCAGTGATCATGCTGTCAAGATTTTCTCCTAGAAAATAGTAAGATCATTTCATTCTCTTTTACTAGGTATTCCACTCCTGGAACATCAACCCTTTCTGTACAAATAAGAAGTATTTAGAAATTTCCTGAAATGCACAGTCCTGTGATTAGCTGTTTGTCTCCCAGCTAACAGGAATTCTAGTTCCCACATGTAAAACATAAAAATGTCATGCTATGGCTTTCTCTTTTCAAGGACTATAACACTTGCAGAGACTATTCTCTCATTTTAAGCTACATTCAGCTAAAGTTTGGGGAAGGTTAGAAGAAGAACTAACAAGCCATTTGTTTAAAAATCTCAGGAAATATGAATATTTTACTTATCTCCCTTTCTAGCTGGTAGCCATGTGCAGGAGGCCGGGGTGCAGTCAACCTTGAGAGAGTTCACCATTCTCAGAATAACACACGTTTATTTATGGAGGTTGAACCATCCTTGTGTCCTAGGGTGAAGCTGGGTTGATAATGGTGGATATTTTTGATGCGTTCTTGAATTTGTTTTCCAAGCATTTTATTAGACTCTTTATATCTCTCTTTATCAAATATATTGGCCTAAAATTAGTCAAGACTTTTCAAAAAAGTCACATGGTAACCTACTATTGAGGAGCCTTCCTAAAATACATCTACCCACATACATAAAAAGAGTTAAAATGTGTAACCCAGGCTGGCCTTGAACTCATGATCCTTCTGTCTCCACCTCCTTCAGCAAGCCCTGCCGACCCCTAACAATATGCACCACCACAACCAGCAGTGGGGAAATGGCCCGGGGGCTGGGGGGTGGGAGTGGGGGGAGGTGGTACCGAGATACCGTGACTGGGATGTTTTGTATGAGAGAAGAATAAATAAAAATTGCTTTTATAAAGTCAAAATGTAGTTATCATATAATGGAGCAACAATGCCCCTCCTAGACAGCCCACACTAGCAAATAAAATATCTATATCCAGAATTGGTTTACTTATTTTGGAGTTATTGGCCAGTGAGGTTTCAAAGACTTCAAAACATCCCAGGATATTGCCAACACTCCAGAGTTTGATAATAAGACCCCCTAAGTATTGCTAAGACACACATACTTGAGTCCTAGAGCATGGTCCTCCACTGGAAGTGTCATCCCTACCAGCTTACAACCAAACAAGAAAAGTAGTCATTACACCCAGCTGTGAACCCTTTAAGCCACAATAATGACTGTCCTGGTAAGACCTGGTGCAATAGTTGCCCAAATACCAAAAGAATAACCAACCAATTTTTTATTGGATTTAAGGCCCACTCCACAAGAAGAAATCCATCCCTGGCACCTTTATTGGACCAAGAACCTATGGCTAGATAGGTCATAGGCTCTGGAAGGAAATCCATTCCATTATTCTGCTAAATTGATATAATAATAAACGAACTCCTCATGGCTTATCATTATACCCATAGATTAAGGCACCTCTCAACCTTTGGCTGAGAAGCTTCTGCTTACAATAGATAATGGGCAACAAAGAAACCCCCAACTGGCCATAGTGCAAAGAACAAGGAACTGAAGAATGTTCAGGCCTGAAGGGAACCTGTATACTGAAGTTCCTCCTCCAAAGGCTGGAGGAAAGGGTGGAAAGAATGCAAGAGCCAGAGATGGTGGATGACTACAACGAAACTGTCTCTGGACACAGCCCTGACATTTGCACATGTCAACTCACAGAAGTTGTGATAGCATGTACAAGACCTGTGCAGGCCCAAGGCATTCCAAATCCCACCTGAATAGGGGAGTTGGGTACAAAGTTCCAACCCTAACCAAGGAGTTAGTTATTAGGAATCCCTGGTGCTGGGGAAATAAATAGGATCAATTTATTTTAAGGATGTAGCCCTGGCAAGTTGACTACACACCAGTGGAAGGCCATGTGTCCAAGAATATGTGGATAGCACAAATTAAACTTGATTGGGGGTAGGGAGACAGATGACAAAGGAATGGGAAGAAGAAGAGGAAACTTGATGTGGTAACTTTATTTTAAATAAAGGCAAAAATCTAGGTAAACAACATTTGTTTCTCTTTTCTCCCTGACTTTGGATACAGTGTAGACAGCTTCTTCAAACTCTTGGATTTCCCCAACATGATAGACTGAATCTTTGTACTGTGAGCCAAGATGATCCACTCTCCTTTGAATTTTCTTTCTGTTGGGGCATGGAATCAAAGCAACAGGAAAATAAACTAGGATAAGCTGTGATGTTTTTATTTTAGTTGAAATATAATTGGGCCGTTTTCCCATTTCCTTTCCTCCCTCCAGGCTTTGCCATGTTTACTCCCAAAATCTTAGCCTCTTCTTATTTAATTGATATGTATGTATGTATATATGCCAATTTTATTAGACATGTACACACACATACCTTATCAGTCTGTGACTATTACTTACATATGTATGATTTCAGGGCTGACCACTTGGTATTTGATAAGCAATTGGAGGGCTCATCCCTGGGGAAGACTCCCATTCATCAGTCCTCAGTTGCCTGTAGTTCCTTGTCTATGGGTGAGGCCACGTGGGATTTCCCCCTTCCCTGGAAGCATACTGACTGATGTTGTACTTCTCTGGGTCTTATTTAGGCAGCCATGTTATTGAGATATCATAGGTGAAGCATCTCTGTCATTTTTAGGAGACACAATCTCACAGCATATTTCCTGATTCTCTTACAATTTTTTTTGTCCTGTTCCATGGTGTTCCCTGAGCTTTAGATGCAGGAGTTGTATTGTAGATGCATCAGCTGGGAACACATGATCACTAATTCTCTACATTTTGACCAGTAGTGATTTTCTGTAATGTTCTCCAACTGTTGCAAAGAGAGCTTTCTTTGATGAGTGGAGAGAGCTATACTTATCTGTTGCTATAAGGGTGAGTATTTAGAATGCAATTGAATATTATGTTGGTTTAGTAAAGCGACAGTAATAGTTTCCCCTATAAGACCCATGATCTACTAACTCTAGGTAGGTGGCTAGGTTACCAGTACCAAGCTTGATTTCTGTTCTGGATTGCTGTCTTCAGGACTGTGAACAGAGCCAGCCGTACAGTCCCGGGTCCAATTCTGAGTGGGGGTGTGTGGACTAGGGAATCTAATTACCCAACGGCGCTAATGATGAGACAGGAAACACCATATCATCTCAGGAGGCCCCCCAGCTGATTCTGAGAAGCCACGGTTTATTGAGAAGTCCATTTAAGTAGTCTTCCAAAGGCAAGGGCAGCATCAGGAAGCATCTATTATGATGTATATATCTAATATCAAGTGATTCTATTGATTCAAGCATTACCTAAACAGTTCCTAGTCACATAGACAGAGTTCTCAGCCCAGGCGTGGGACCTACTCAATGCTTAGGCCCATAGAGATACAAACTAGGAGGCATTCTACACTGAGGCCGTGGTAAACAATAGCAGACCTGCTCGCATTAGCAGTACAATAGTGGGTCGGAGCTTCTGGGTGCTCCTGTTTTCTGAAACTGGAGGCTGGACCTTAAGACATTCCATAATAGAACTTTTCTTTGGTCCCTCCTGTTGAGTAGGCCTTAAATGT